TATGCCAGCGATAGCGAAGAACAAGATCGATTAATTGTCCCTCCAGAGGGCGAAGCTGTAAACAGTCTAGACGCATATGTAAGTCCCCTCGCCCCCCCCCAATTCACAAGTTTAGGCTGACAATAAATCCACCCAGACATACCCAATTCTCGACGACGAACTATACAACATAATCCACGACATAGTCCTCAAAGTGCACCGCGACGAGCGAATAGCCAAAGCCAACACCGCTGCTATAATAATAGAGCAAGAAGCCGCCGAAGCCTTCCCCGACCAACCAAGTACGCCCTCAAAATCCTCAAAACACAAGCACTCCCCCCCCAAACGCCTCGAGAATGATGCAGCTATATATGAAGACGGACTGGTCACAATCAAAGGCAATCCGCTAGCCACCGTCCACGAGATCCGCTGCCCGAAATGCGGACTTCCGAAACTCCTACACCCGACTGATGGGAATGGTGCCCGCAAGCCGGAGCCGGGAGTGGAATACTGTAAGAGGCATCCGTATATTGATAAGCCGGGCCATGATATCTACGGACTCCCGTTTCCTAAGGACGATAGTACGGCGAATCGCAAGTCGAAATCGAAGAATCTTTTGGCTTCTAGCGGGAGTCAGCTGGATGGGCCGGACTCGTCATTTGACTCTGCAGACCCGTCGCCACCCCCGGCGGTGGCAGAGCCTGTCACGTTCCCTACTACACTGTGTCCGAGGTGTCCGAGGTATATTAATATTAAGGTGTTTGCGAGACATTTGAACCTGCACAACAAAGGTGGCGGCCGAGCGAGCGGGCGCGCTGCAATCATGAAGATCAACGGACAATCGTCGGGAGGTGTGACGCCACCAACGAGCAGGAGGTCGACTCCAAACATCAAACTGAGTCCGCAGAAGCGCTCTCTCGAGGATCTGGAGGATGTGAATTACAACGACGACGACGATGACGATGAGGGTGAGAGCCCGAAGAAGAAGGCGAGGGTGCCGATGCTGAAGGTTAATCCGAAGAAGAAATTGGGGAATGGATTGGGGGTGGTGAAGAAGTGGAAGTCGGGGAAGATTACGGTGGATGGGAAGACGGTGGATCAGAGGCCGGGGTTGGGGACTGGGGGAGGGGGGAAGAAGGGGAAGGCGGTNNTTTTTTGGGGGGGGGGGGGGTTTGGGGAGGGGGGGGGGGGGTGGGGGGGGGGGTGGGGGACGGGGGGGGGGGGGAAGAAGGGGAAGGCGGTGCAGAGGGCGGGGTCGGATAGTTCACATACTGTGGATAGTCCATGATGGAGGGCTGGGGTTGGAGGGCTTCGATGTAGTGGGTAATTCAATGGAATTCCCACTGCTCTGTCTGTTTGCTTTGTATAAGCTCTGTGATATTCTTGTATGACATGAGTAATGGCTCTTAGTGGTCAAAGACTGGAACTCAACTTATAGTCGGGCCAAAGCTACGGGTATATGCATATCATCTTATTCTTGCAAGATCTATATCAAACTCCCAATTCCAAATCACTGTCCGAACGCCGCCCATTTTAAAAGCCACCCACACTTTTAACCCCCCAACAACAACCCAACAGCCCGACTCACTCCTCCTCCCCACCCCCCTCCTCAAGCACATAAGCCCTCACAACCCTCACCTCCTCCACCGGCCTATCCTCCCCCCCCGTCTTCACCAACCCCATCCTCTTCAAGACACCCAACCCCCTCGTCACCCTCCCAAAAATCGTATGCTTCCCATCCAACCACGGCGTCGGCGCCAGCGTAATAAAAAACTGGCTCCCATTCGTATCCTTCCCCGAATTGGCCATACTCAAGATGCCAGCGCCGGTGTGCTTGAGCTCGGGCGAGATCTCGTCGGCGAACTTCTCGCCGTAGATGGAGGAGCCGCCGCGGCCGGTGCCGGTGGGGTCGCCGGTTTGGATCATGAAGTTGGGGATAATGCGGTGGATTAGGAGGTTGTTGTAGTAGCCGCGTTGGGCGAGGGTGGAGAAGTTTTGGCATGTCTGTGGGGGGAGGGGTTAGTTATTTTGAAGAGGGGGACGGGGGAGGGGGGGTGGCAGGCGTACTTTTGGGGCGTGGTCGGCGTAGAGCTCGACTACGATTGTGCCCTGGAGAAAGATATGTTAGCTATTGTGACAGGATGGCTGGGAGGTGGGGGGTGGGGAGTACCATGGTGGTTTCGAGAGCTACGTTGGTAGCCATGATGCAGTTATGCTCAATCGCGGTCTTGGTAAAGAGGTAACGCGTTTCTTATATATCTTCTCTAATCGCAGTTCAGTAACTCTTAACAGCGCTGAGATATTCCGCTTCATCGATGCAACCGTCGTTATTCGCGATCAGGCTGAGCATGAAATCGGTTCCACCACAAGGCTGACAGAACTTCCAAGCTCCACCGGCCCCTCTATGATGCGTCGACAGCCTCGTCCCTTTGTCCCCCATCTCTCCACCACCAGCACCACCACCTCCACCCTCGCTTTATCCTCACCCGGCCACCATGTCGGCCATCACGACGACCCCCCAGGCCCTCATAACCGAATGGGCTTACTTTCTCTGGCAAGAGCGCGGCATGGCGCAGATGTACACGCACCTCGTCCTCGCAGCCTTATTCCCCATCTACGCCGGCGCACACGCCTCACTCCGCCGTCCGCCATCAGCCGCTATACCTATCAAAACGAAGAGGAGGACGAGAGAGGGGGATGATGAAGATAGCGAAGATGAGGAGCTGGAGGTGGAGCAGCATCTTGGTCTGACGCCATCGGATGCGATTATGTTCCCCATCCTCGCGGGGTTTACGCTGTCGGGACTGTACTTTTTGATTAAGTGGCTTAAGGACCCCGCGCTCTTGAATCAGATTTTGGGATATTACTTTTCGACTCTGGGGGTGTTTGGAGTAGGCAAGCTGGCGACGGATGCGCTGAACGTCACCACCTCGGTGGTCTTCCCGAATATGTGGTCCGCGAAGGGACAGATATATCACATCAACCAGACCCTCTCTGCACAGCTCATCGAGTCACCGTCCCCCAGCCGGCCAGAGACGAAAATCCACCGCCGCTTCGTCGAAGCAAAAACAAACCCATTCCCGAGCATCTTCTCCAGCATCCGCTTCCCCGCCAGGACAACCAAGCGCATCTGGGCCGTCCGCGCCCTCCTGAACCAGCAATGGGTATTCCGCGGTTACATCCACGGCATCCTCAGCGCCAAATCGCGGGTTCGTCTCAATGACGCCCTTGGATTTCTTATTGGGGTTACGTGTATAGCCCTCTACAATATGAATGGGAAACCCTGGTACCTCACCAACCTCATGGGCTTCGGGTTCTGCTACGGGTCGCTGCAACTCATGTCCCCCACCACTTTCTGGACGGGCTCGCTGGTTATGGGCGGGCTGTTTATTTACGATATCATAATGGTGTTTTATACACCCCTCATGATCACCGTGGCTACCACCCTCGATGCGCCGATGATGCTCGTTGTTCCCGGCCCGAATAGGGGGAGTATGTTGGGGCTGGGCGATATTGTTTTACCAGGGATTATGATCGGGCTTGCGCTACGATTCGATCTGTATCTCCATTACCTCCGTAAGGGCCAGGCGTCATCGGATATCGCCTTACCAAGCTACAAAAAACCAACTGCTAGCCAGACGGGAGACCTCTTCTGGACAGCCCGCCATGCATCCCTCCGCCCCGCTACTCTCGCTGATGCGGCGTTCAGGAAGACGTATTTCCACGCCGCGTTGGTGGGGTATGTGGCTGGCATGGCGGTCACGCTCTCAGTGCTTAATATATGGAATCACGCGCAGCCGGCGCTGCTTTATCTCGTACCCGGTGTGTTAATAGCGTTATGGGGAACGGCGGCGGTGAGGGGGGAGATTGGGGTGATGTGGAGGTTTACGGAGAGTGGGGATGATATTGCGGATGTGAAGGGGGTGAGGGTTGAGGTGGTTGAGGCGAAGAAGGTGGAAGGGGAGGGGGAGGTGAAGGCTGGGGAGGGGGTTAAGAAGTATGGGGAGAGGGAGGATTTTGTTATGTATTTCACGTTGTCGACGCCGAAGGCGGAGGATGTGAGGGAGAGGGCTGTTGGGAAGAGTGATTGAGAGTAGGCTGTAAAGGAGTTGTGGCGAAATTATGGGGACAATAAATAGATTGTCTGGATAGGAAAGGGGTTCAGCGATTGTTCTGGGCATAGATGGCTTGGATACTTGTATTTTTAGAGGTTAGATCAGTTAGATCAGCCACAGGTGTATTTTTATCACGGGGATTGGGTTGGTGTCAGTTTTGGCTTGATAGATCATGTATTCTATCCGCTTTATGCTGGATTATATTTTTTCCTTCTCCACTGGTGAGAGCGAACCCAGTGGGATGGACGCAGAACGTCTACCCAGTATCTGCCTGTTGGTACATTGTTCTTCTCCGTGGTGCCCTTAACCATCCTTTCTTTTCTGTCCGGCGTGACACCCTATATCTCTTCCTGGATGCCATATCCCATCCCTATATCTTGGCGGTATGCCGATTTCCAGAACCACATCTCCAATCATATCCATGTGACCAATGTCTGATATCCGTGGCAGACCTTGCCTAGCCCTTCCTCTCTGAGTGAATCCATCCTCCCTTCCATAGTATCCCCTTCAGCCTTCATCTCCGCATCCTATCATATCCCAATCCCCTCCCTCAACTCCCTGCAACAGCCCCAACCCCCTCCACCACCAACTGCCCCACCACATCCGGACTCAACACATCCCTCCTAAACCTTTCATTCTGCAACAACTCGAGATTCTTGAGCGTCGGCCCCGGGTAGGTCAGGTACTTGAGATAGGGTGCTGTGGAGAAGTATTGTAGGTACGAGAGGTAGGCGATGAAGGGGGGGTGGGCGAGGAGGGGGATGCTGGGCGTGTTGGGGGTTTCGGAGGTCGTGAGGGTGGCGAGATGGAGGAGGTAGTGGGGGTTTGCTCTGGGGTGGGGGGTGTTAGTTTGGTGATGATAGGGGGGTTGGGGGGTTGGGGGGTGGTGGTGGTGGTGGTGAAGGGTTCGAGGGTATGGAGGTGTATGTTTGTTCCGGGGTCGTGTGGGGGGAAGTTTAGACGTACAGGCATTGGACGAACTGGTTGGGTGTTAGTGGATGGGTGATGGAGGGGAGTATGGGGGGAGGTATACTTCAAGTTCTATCTCAAAGCGCGTGAAGCCGCCGTACTTGGACTGCTGGTTGTTGGAGGGCGGTGATGGGGGATGGGAGGAGGAGGCCATGGTGGTGGTGGTGGAGGTGATGTAACTGTAATGCTGAGAAGTGATGCTGGCACTGTGAAGCTGGCAATGTGAAGCTGCAACTGTCAAGTCGTCACAGTAAAGTTGTTACAGATCAGCTGTACAATCACGAGATGGCGAGGTTACCACGAGGCTATCGCTGAAAGATGAAGCTGTCACTAATCGGCCATACAATCGCGATACGGCGAGGCTACGAGTATATGCAGCCTGACCACCTATACCCAGCCAATCACATGTCTCTAAACTAAAATATACCCCATGTACTGCCCTGCGTGTATGTATAACTGCACGGTAATTAAAGCATAACTAGTACCACGGCCTTTAAACCTCAGTATTTGTAAGCTCTTTCAAACTGGTTAATTTTTTACCTATTTAACCGCTTCTTAACGGCAGTTTATGTGTTATAGGTGTCCTCGCGCAGCAGGTGTGATCGACTCTTGGGGGAGGCGGTGAGGGGGATGAGAGTACTCTGACTACTCTGACTAAAGTAACACGAGAAGCCATGCATTACTAGTATGAGTATGAGTATACTAGCACCGCTCTAGAGGGAAGGGGGAATGGGGAATTGGGGAAAGGACGGATACATCAGCTAGACACTGCTAGAACTGCAGTAGATATCATTCTGCTAAGAGTGCTAATATAGTAATTAGGGGAAACTACTTCTGGGGAAGCTATCTCCTTCTCCTCTTTCTTCCTCTCTCCTTTGGATGGACACATACACACAAATTCATACGCTTAGACATACATTACTCCCACCTCCCCTCTTTGATATACCTCATCAGACTCGCCCTCTTCACTCTTCTCTATCTAATTCTCCCTCTCCTCAACAAGTATAAACACACTCATCCGTTCATCCTCTCATCCTCTCACCCGCTCACCCGCTCATACCTTCACCCTCTTTACACTCTCTTTACCACTCTACGCGCGCTCAGTCTGGCTATACCGCATTCCTGTCCCCCACTCTCTCCACCGATCGACACGCGATAACTCGGGCTTCTGTCCCTATGAAAATCGCTGAAACACGAATTCTACATCCCTAAACCCACTGGCGACTGCGAACTCCTGCGAATTGTGGCGACTGCGACATTGTTCAGCGTTCATCCTTCATGCAAAGAGCCAACGATCTGACCAATTCAGCCTATCGCATTCGCATTTCCGCCCTCCCCCTCTCTCTACTCGTACTTTCTTCTGGGTCGGTCCCGCCTGCTCCATTCTAACCTTTAACCCCTCGCTAGCGTCTGGCTCTCCGGTCGGCTAAGGGGGTCCCCTTTCAAACTTGTGCAAGGGCCTCCCGAAACAAACATACATCCACTCTACCTCACAAACACAAAACCACCACCACCAACTACACAACTCTCCATACTCTACTTCCAACAACCCTTCCCCGCTACGTCTAGGAATACTCTTCTTGACGCCGCATACATCATCGATACCTATCACCCCTATCTCCCATCCAACGAATAGAGACTTGGCTTGCGGGTCAAACCGACTCCCGTCTACTCTCGCGCCTTGCGATTCCAGCTCTATACGATACGAGGACCAACCTGCGTTGCATGCCAAGTCTCCATACAGACTCCAACATGGCTTTCGCGCAACCCGGTGGCGAAGGTATGCTATTCTTACATTTATTGCTCATGCTCTCTACATATTGCGACCCCGCTGTTTTCTGTTTGGGATCGCAAGACCGTCGTTTTGGGCGGCTTCTCCACCAACCCCCCCCCCCCCCCCCCCCCACCCCCCCCCCCCCCCATCTCAACCCCCCCACCCCCCCTCCCCAACCCCCCCCCCCCCCCCCTTCCCGCCAAACACTATGGACAAAGAGACAGTCACTGACCAGGAACGCCCTCTTATAGAGTCGAAGGCGGCAGGCCTCTCCCTCAACCTTCCCTCCAACAACCCGTTTCGCAACCGCACAACTTCACCAGTCGCATCTGGCCAGCTCTCCCCAATGGAGCCCCCACCAAGACCGCTATCACGGAACCCTTTCCTCGACGATGCAGGAACCGTTAAGGAAAGCCTGCAAAGGCTCCCATCTCCTGGAGTAAAGCCGGCACCTTTGACAGGAAGTGCCGCTGAATTATTCGTACGAACTCCCCGTTTGCTGATACCCCGCTCTTGATTTGAAGCGACACAATCCAGCGTTACATCCGTCCAAGTTGCACATTGTTCCCGGCTAACACATATATTTAGGACGAGTTGACGCTTGATGACAAACCAAGAACCTCGCGCCCTCAACAACCCACCAGAACGTTGACCGATAATTCACGCGCCGAAAACATCCCTCCAAATGGCTCGGTGTCTCACCACCGTCCGACGCGATCCCAGGACAGGCGTCCTCCAGGCCCTCCAAGGACCGATAAACCACAACCACGCCGACCAACAAACGAGCTGGATATCTTTGCCGACCCGACCGATACGAAGCCTAATGAGCGTCGTCCGAGGCGCAATTCGGACTCTTCTTTGATGGGCGGCCCCAGTGGCAGTGGGAAGGCACTTGACCCAGTGGAGGAGAAGAAACGCCAAGATCGCCGTAGGCGAGAGCGTAGGCACCGCGAGCGCGAAGCGTTGAAGGACCCAAAGAAACCCAGCCGCAAACTTGATATCATTGATCAGTTGGATGCAACCAGCATTTATGGGATGGGAGGTAAGCAATATCCACTCGTCTTTAACTTATACGTTTCTAATTCGCACAGTGTTCCATCACGATGGCCCATTTGACGCCTGTAACCCCCACCGCAACAGGCAAGGTAGCAGACGCGCACCAATGCAGGCTTTCCCCAAGGACTCCTTGAACAATGCCCTTGTTGGAGGACCACCGATGAATAGGCGGCCAAACCACGCAGCTTTCCTTGGCAATAATGATGAGGAGGCATTCAAGGACTTCTCTACCGGTGGCGCAGCAGGTACCAGTTACGAGTCATACGGGGGCCGTGCCAATGGAGCTGGAGCACAGCCTAGCTTTCAAAGCTCAACCATGAAGGTTGAACCCGTACACGGCGACGAATCCCTCGGCCTAGGCACATCGACATTCTTAGAAGGCGCACCAGCTTCCAAGGCCGCTATTCAGAGGACGGCTGCCGAAACCGCTGCTGCCGAATCTGCAGCTGCAAAGGCAGGAGGTGGTCTTGCTAGGAAGAAGTCACTAGCACAAAAGATCCGCGGCATCAACAACCCGAGGCGAGAGTTCGCACCTGGACCCCCCAGACGCGGCTCTAGCAACGACTCCCGCCCTAGCCCATCCTCGCCTGGTCAAGATGGCAACGGCCCCCGCCCGAAGACAAACGAGAATAACCCCTTCCAGTTTGAATTTGAAGCCGCGAGGGCTGGTACTGCTGGCAGGAAGGAAAGCATCACCTTCAGAGAGCCGGAGAACAAGCCGACGAGATCGCCTCCAGGCGGTAGCCCAGCGAGGGAAGCACCTGGTGCGCGTCTGGAGAGGAGGATTACTACTGATAGTACCGGGGGCGAGGAGGCTGCGAAGCCGGGGGGTTTCTTGTCGAGGGTTAAGAGTCTGAAGGGGGGACCGAGGAGGCCGAAGGCTGAGAAGCCTGTCTTTGACTAGATGCGCGTCTGCTTCTTGCTGCGAAGTTGGGGTCCTGAAGGGACTCATTTGCGGCTCATATCGAGGATGTCAAGGAATAGCACGCTTCCTATCCAAGTTCGTGGATTGGCTCATACCCCGCTTCAAATTACAGCAGTACTCACCCCAGTGCTTGAGCAATTCTTATCTGGAAGCGACAGTTTTCACCTCGTTTTTTAACTTGGTTTTTTTTGTTTTCATTTTTCAATTTTCAGATGTGTCAGAAAGATCCGAAACTTCTCGAATATGATGATAGCAACTTCGCGGTTGCATGCGAGAATACCTGGTGGCGCCGTTTTATGTATCTCAAGGATCCATCCACGCTCCTGGCTTGCATGGGAATAACGAACAATCGTGCTAGAGACGACGCCAAGATCGTGCATGAGCGGATGAGGAGGATGGATGGATGGATGGATGGTGTGTGTGTGTACATAGCGTGGTGATGTATGTCGAGGCGTAAGCGGCATTTTGAGAGTTTATGAAGGGAAGTTTTTATCATGGAATGGAAAGGGAAGGGAAGGATGGCTCAGGTTTATTATGGTAGTGGAGGAGGGAGGAGAATGGAGTAAATGGGAGCAGTACTGTTGTTAAAACCCCATGGTTAGTTGGGTCGATAGGGAGAGACGGCTAGATCAAGATCAACGAGAGGGTCGCCTTTTTAACTATAGACGGACGTAGTTAGGTTAGCTTGTGTCTATTCTTTTTAAATTGATGGGCTTTTATGGCTTTTTTATATGCTTGCGTGGGGAGTGAGGGGTGTTGATGAGTGAGAAATAAGTAGTAGGAAAGTAATAGATGTCACGTGAATTCGGGGTTTACCATGCTGCAATTCGCATGTTCCATCTGCCATGACTGAATACTGTGTGTGAAGTAACGACATAGTCGGGGCGTTGTTGCCATTCAAAAATCTGGGGCAGTGAATCTTTGTTCCCACCGAGTTGCTTGGAGAGCCGCCGAACCATTCTACGCCCTCCGAACAGTGCCTACCTAAACCCAAACTAAGCGCTTAAAACCAACTGAAAGGAGATACTCACATCCCACGCATCCCCGCCCATCTCCGAAGACCTCTTCGAGTTCTTATAATATGCCAGACTGGGGTACGCAGCTATCGTAGCTGGGCTGAGATATGGACGACTCAACACCACTCCGCCATTTCCACCCCCCAGTCTCGGCATCTACACTCCTCGCCCGCCTCCGGATATCACAGATAGACCCCGCGACTGGGCTGAAGCTGCCGAGATTGCGCACGGGGGTGAGGGATGTGGATGAGTACCTCCTTGGGGGAGGGGTGCAGAGGGGGTGTGTGGTTGGCGTGAGCAGCGGCCTCACCAGTCCTAACCGTGGGGGGAGGGAGTACCCAGCTGCTGCAGATGCGGAGGAGGGGGGTGATACGGGGAGGTTGGTTGCGATGCATATCCTCGCTAGGTCATTGCTCGAGCGTCCACATTCTCATGCGTCTATTATCGATTCCACAGGCTCGTTTCCGCTAGCCCTCTTCGCGGGGGTGGTGAGGTGGTGTGTTGAGAGGGGTGGGGGTTCTGGGGTTGGAGATGCGGGGGGTGCAGGACGGGAAGGGGGGAAGGGAGGGAAAGGGGGTACAGGAGGTGCGGGAGGTGCGGGAGGTGCAGGAAGGAAGGGAGGGGGAGGAAAAGGAGAGGTGGAAGAGAAAGTTAACGCGGTGTTAGAGCGCGTGGGTGTTACGAGGATTTTTGATATTGAAGGGCTTTGGGAGGTTTTGGGGGAGGTTGGTGGGGGTGCGATGGGAGGGGCCGACAGGAGGGATGAAGCAAAAGAAGCTTCGATGGGGGAAGAAGGAAGAGGGGCCGAGGATATGGGGCTAGGTGAAGAGGAGGAAGGGGATGATGGGATGCCGAGGGAGGCGCTGCCGACTGCTGCTGGGGTGAGGGAGATTATGGATAGTGAGGAGGAGGATGATGAGGACGATGATCTAGCCACCCAGCGCCTTCCAAATCCAAGACCTCAAAGTCCCCAAGACAGGCCCGGCTCAAACATCAACATCCACAAACCGTCGGCCCCCGCCGCTCCAACCACCCACCCCACCACCGAAATAATCCTCCTCGACAACCTCACAACCCTAACAACCACCCTCTTCTCCCGCACCTCCACGCCCCTCGCGCACCATCTCCTCTCGCAACTCTCTCGCACGCTGACTACCCTCGCGCGCTCCTCCTCCGTCACAATCTTCTTGCTGAACACACTGGTTAGGAAATCCACGAAGACCGCCGCGGGCAACCCGGAACAACAGCGCAAGAAGGAACAAGAGAAGCAGCACTCTGTGTTTGCTGGTATGACAGCTACTCCCAGTCTAGGGGTGGTGTTTGATGGGTTCGTGGATTTGCATCTGATGTGCTTTGCACTGCCGAGGGGGAGGGAGGATGCGGAGGGTGTTTTTGGGGTTGAACTCCCTGGCGATGATGGCGAACTCCGCGATGATGAAGAGGATGGTGGTGCTACGGGGGAAAGGGGGGCTAGGCGTGAGGGGCGTGGGGAGGGGGATAGGTTTGCGAATGTAATCGAGGTGCTCAAAGATGAGTGTCCACAGCTTGAACGGTGGGAGGGGGTGAGTGACGGGAAGCCGGGGAGAGGGGTGGATAGGGAGAAGAGGTGGGCGGCGTTTGGGGTTGTGGGGGGGGTTGGGTTGGTGGATGAGGTGTTTGAGGGGGCTGGGGAGGAGTAGGTGAGATAGGAAGGAGGGTGGAATAGGGGGGTCTTGGCGAATGGGGGCGTATTTGGGGTATATCACGGGTCTGATTGCAAAGGAGATATGCTGGTGGAGGCTACAACTCGCAGGAAATATTATCAAGGGATGCTTAGGCAGTTAATATAAGCGTGGATTCTCTATGAATTAAATAGCAACTATAGTTCCCTTCCCTGCGCCAGTGAAAATTCCCTCCCATATCCCTGACTCCATCTATCCTAAAATACACCAGCCACCACCCCACCACCCCCCACCCCTAACTCCACCCCCTCATCCACAACCTCCACACACGGCACAGTCCACGCCCTCAAATCATCCCTCGCATCCCACTCCGCCACTTCATCCGTCCTCCTCGTCCCATTCCTCCCTCTCCCCTCTCCCCGGCCCTCCTCAGAAGACGACGAAGACTGCACCTGCTGCTCCCCCTTATCACTAGTCAGCGCCTTCACCGACACCCTCCTGATCCCTCCAATCGGATTCCCCTTCTTATCCACCGTCGTCGTCAACCCAGGCATTTCACTCTCCATCCTCGCTTTCTTCACGGCATGGGTATGTTTCTTACTCGCCCCTGACCCATTCCTAGTCGGCTCCCCACCACTGTTTCTCTCCTGCCCCTGCTGTTGCTGCTGATTATGGTGGTTATGGTGATGGTGACGGCGCTGATGCCGATTCAACGGCGTCGCCGTCCCCATCCCCTCATCCTCGCTATCATCCGCTCCCAGCGCGATGGTCTGGGCAACGGGATTCTGGGAGGCGGGAGCAGGCTTGTTGCCCCACCCGTCGCCGCCGTTGAAGATGTCTTCGATGCAGGCGTCGGCGGCGAGGGTGCCTTTGCCGCAGAGCCAGGAGGCAGCGAGGGTTTGCCGGTACATGTCTTGCATTTCGGCGAGCTCTTTGTTGATGCCTATTGCGCTGGTGTCTGGGGGGGTGGGGTGTTAATAGGAGTAAAAGGGGGAGGGGGAAGGGGGGGGAGAGAGGGATAAAGGGGGGACGTACAGCCTGCTTTGTCTTTCTCTTGCTCCACGGCCATGACGCCTGTGAATCCCTCGAAGACCGCGGCGGTTCGGAGGGGAGGGGCGATGAAGTTTCGATCCCCGTCGACCTGCGACATACCAATTCCAATCTTGACGGTACTATTAATCTTACTATCCTGCATCAAATACCTCCTCACCATAACCTCTCCCTCCTCATCATGTATATCCGCATACTCCGCAAGGTTCAACCTCACCCTCCCAATCGTGATCTTCTCCCCGCGCGCCCCGCCATTGTAGTCCTGGATGACCTCGAACTCGATGAAGCATTCCTGCAGCAGGTTTGTCTTGTCCATCGACAGCCGTACCACGAGAGAGCGCTCATAGTCCCAGGTTACTTTGTGTTCTTTGATTGGCGCCTTTGTTGTCACGCCCCGGTGCTCCGCGGCCGTGGACATGGGGAGGTGCCATTTTACGTAGGATTGCCCGGCGACGAGGGGGACGTTGTTGAGGTCAATTATCTGGCAGCAAAGAGTCAGTATTTAGTATTCCGATGTAGGCGCAGCAGCTTACCTGTAGTATGAGCTCAAACTTCGGCTGTGTATAGCGTGGTCAGCAAGGGAATAGAGTTGCTGGCTGGCACTGGGGGCAAGCGCGGGAATTCTCGAACCTTGCGAGATTTGTTGACTATAGGCTCGAAATACATAGTCAGTAAAGCGACACTCGAAGCCGAATGGGCAGCGCGCGGCGCAAGGAGGGGGAAGGAAAGGGGGGGGGGGGACAACATACTCAGGCCGTTCATGCTTATATATCATCCTTATAACCCCCGGGGCTCGCGAACCATATTCGGCGAAGGAATGCTGGAATAGAGCCGGGACTAATCTATCGTATCGTAGTTTGGAGGGGGCTCCGTACACGTGTTAATGGTGGGAATCCCGGACGGGCATATGGATGTTTTATTGTGTGTGTGTGCGTGTGCGTGTGCGTGTGTGGCTGACCTATTTGCTGATAATTCGTTATTATTTGGATTCCTGGCCATTCCGGAACTTGCGACGAGGCTACGTAAGTGGTCAACGGTAAGGTACCAGCGTTGGTGCTTGTTCGGTTCGGTTGGGTGCTGGAAGTTTGGTAAGGGTGGTTGGATTTGGCTTGTGGTGGTGGGCCTAGAATCGTGACAGCTAAGGCTGCTGAAAGCTTATCCTGGGGGCTCAGCCTTCTCCTCCTTGTGCCTCAGCCTCGTTGACTTGTAAAAATCACTAGTCTTGGCTATCTAATATGAAATGGAACTCGCTGGGGACTCTATTGCGGAGGTTGTATTGAAAAAATTTAATACTCTGCCTAAGAAGCGCAAGCCGATACAGCGGGCTGACCATAAGAGAGAATGGGTTCCTCTGGCAGGAATTGTTGCTCAAGGTTTTATACCCCGTGACCCCGCGCATCCCATGATAAACACTGACACACGACCAGGAGAAGATGGACTGACGTGTCTGGCTCTTGGGTGAGAATATGCCCCGGTCTGCTTCTTAACTCGAAGTCTGTCGACTGACCTCCCCAGAACAGGAATGAAATGCCTCCCTTCCAACAAGATCCCTGAAGCCAACGGCACCGTTCTCCATGACTGGCACGCTGAGGTTGTTGCTCTCCGCTCCATCAACCGTTTCTTACTCGAGGAATGCCGTAAATTAGCATCGTCTAAGGAGCAGTCCTCGAAGTATGTAAGAAGGAGAAGGGCCGATGAGATCACTCCGAGCAGCTTCCAGCCTTTTACAATCAGGGAAGATGTAAAACTGCATATGTATTGCTCCGAGGCACCATGTACGTTACTCAAATTTCGTCATGTCCCACCAGGAGTTACCTAACTTACTCCAGGCGGTGATGCCAGCATGGAGCTCACCATGGCCGCCCAAGACGACGCAACCCCCTGGGAAATTCCCGCCCCCGCATCATCTACAGCAACAGATTCCAGTATGCCCGGACGTGGCTACTTCTCGAATCTAGGCATCGTCCGGCGCAAGCCATCACGCCCCGATGCTCCCTCCACGCTCTCAAAATCATGCTCGGACAAGATAACACTGAAGCAGATAACCTCTGTTCTCAGCTCCGTCACTTCCTTACTCATCTCACCAGAAAATGCATACCTGCAAACCCTCACCTTGCCGGAGTCTCAATATGTAGCTGTTGGCTGTGAACGCTGCTTTAGTCCACGGGGACGTTTAAAGGACTTGGACGTGCCTCCAAGTGGAGGCTACAGCTTCCATGACTTCAAGATGATGACAACGGGGACGGAATTTGCATATTCTCGCCGAGATGCAGACGGCTCGCCTCTTCTGAGTGATGCAATTTCGCCGAGCAATATTGCTGCTTCTTGGTCGCCGTACTTTGAGGAAACGTTGATAGGAGGCGTTCTTCAGGGGCGGAAACAGAATGATCCGAGGGGCGCAAGTGTTGTGTGCAAAAAGAGGATGTGGGAGCTGGCTCGCGATATAACGAGGTTATTAGATTTGGAAGATAGGAGCTTAGTGGAGAGCTCTCTGTCACATGAAGTGGATTCTGGGGCTGTGAAGGGCCGCAAGACGTATGAAGATATGAAGCAGAGCCAACTTCTGCAGGACAGGATGACTGCCAAAAACACTGCCAGGCAAACACTTCGGGGGTGGGCGAGGAATGATGGAGACGAAGGGTTCACATTAGATGAATAAACCCATAGAGAAATATCGCATAATTCTAAACTATGCTGGCTTGAACTTGACCTCCCACAGGAGGCTCTATCTATCTGCCCCCGGGTTAAAATAGCAGTCTTATATAGCTACAAAAGTTCTCCTCAAACGAAACCAAGGTACGGGTATCACCAAAGCGCCCATAAACGCCATCCAAACCCCTTACAAAAACCACCTCCAAACACACGACGCAGACAAATACCATACCACAACCACCACTCAGCTCGAATGAAACCTCGCATTATGACTCCCCGCATTCCCCTTCGCACACTCCGGACTACAAAACCACGAATACTCCTGCAACCCCCCCTCCTCCTTCATCCCAAAGCACCTCTCGCACCCCAAATCCGCATTCGGCCCACTAAGCTCACACACATTCCCACACCCCTCCGAGCAGCAGCGCCTAATCGCATCCCTTGCCTGCTTGCGCTTACTCTCCTCCTTCGCCGCTTTCGCTTTATTATTCGCCGCCTGCGCGTTCCGTAGATCCGCCAGCCGGTTCTCGAGAATCTGTGCGTTGGACTTTGCGTCAGCGATGTCTTTTTCCATTGCGGGGATGATCTCGTTGTAGGGTGTCGCGTTGTCGAATAGCTTTGTCCATTTTTGTCGCAGCTCGGCGTCGCGGGGGGTGTCGGTTGGTTGGGGGGTGCAGGCGTAGTTGCGGAGGTAGGTGTATTTCTCGGCTTCGGATTTGGATTTGTTGTATTCGGCCTGGGCTTCGCGCTGTTCGGGGGTGAGTGTGCCTAGTAGCTTCCCCTCTTCTTCGATGATGTAGGTATCGATGTCCGCTGGAGATGTCCCAGTACCACGCAATTCAGCAGCTCGTATTTTGGCCTTCTTAACTGCCGGATGGTCGCTGGGTCCGAAAGTGCATTGAGCGTCCTTGATATGCTGCGTCTTCTCCCTCCGGACACGGCCATTGATTTTCTCTATCGTAGTCTGCGCATCAAACATTCGCTTTAGATCTTGGGTATATTCCGCTGGTCGGTATGACGTCCAGCGCCCTGCCGAGGCTGCCGTGTATGTATCTTGGTATAGTTTGCGCATCTCATTCTGATGGGTTGTGCACTTGGCAAACCCCGAGGCGCAGTTACTTTGGCATGTCTCTGAGAGAGTCTTTAATTGCCCCTCAAGCTCTGACGTGTCTGCCTCGTGGAGGGAGGCAATTTCGTCGACTTGCGCCTTCGAGAGCGGGTATGTTGGTTGAATATCGGCCGTCATTGTGTTATGAGTTGTATTTGCTGGGATGTCCTCTGATGAAGTGGCACCCTCGCATTATATGGCGAGGAACAGATAGTATTTTTATTCGTGCGCAAGTGATGCGATCGAGATGTCGGGGTCCAGAAGGCGAGGCTGATAGAAAGTTAGGTAAGTGGAATAAAGACGCTAAAGCACTGCTTATCCTTATCGTGCGGCATGTTTAGAGTATTGCTATGCGCCGCTGAATAGCAGACCCATCTTGTTCCATCAGCACTGACTTGGGTCTTTCTAGAATCCTTTCTACCGCAACGATGGTAAGTTGACATTGATATTCTTTTCTGTATAGATCTAACTGGTATACAGGCAGACAAGCTCCGCGCGCAGCAGCAGTTGGAGCAACTCCAAGCCCGATACGTTGGAACTGGACATGCGGACACGACCAAGTTCGAGTGGACCAGCAACATCCAGCGCGACAGTTATGCGTCATATATTGGGCACCCGCCTCTCTTGAGCTATATGACTATTGGGATGGGAGAGCCGAAGGAGAGAGTCCGGGCTGCGCTTATTGAGGTTCGTTGATCAACTTCAGGATCCTGGGGTGCATGGAGCTAACGAATGGCAGAAAATGATACAACCGGTTGGCAAACCCCCGGAGGTCCAGGATTGAGATATTTCAAGGGAGGAACAAGAGGAGTGAATGGTTTTATAGCACCAAGGAATGGCAAGGCGTTAGGGAAGGACAATCATGGTGATTAGGCCCACGTCAGGCACGGGGGAGAACAGGATGGCAACGATTCAAACAGTATGTTGGTAACTGTCAGATGGTTATATATGGAGGTGAAGGATAGCACCTAAACCCAGATATATTTGGCTGCTGCCGCATCTATCAACCAACCTACAGCTACAATATATCTTGTACAACAACCTATTGTATACTCCATTTACCGAACGTATATTCCATTTAGTCCAGCTCCAGCAACTCCAGCAGTATCCCAGGGGTATATATATCTATCAATCCTCAACCCATCATATCATCATTCCTCCTCAGCCTCATCCGCCCTTCTTCTCCTTCCCCCTCTCCCCTGCTCCTCTCGCTCCGGTTCAACAACCTGCCTCTCCCTCCTCTCAGGACCATCCTTAATCCCCAAACTAGCCTTCAGCCTCACACCCAGATCATCCGGCGCCGTATCCCCATACACCGTCTCCACAAGCCCCTTCACGCCCTCCGCCCCAACCTCAATCTTCCCCCTCGGACCAACCATCCACTCCGTAATATCAGTGCCGTTGGCGTTATCCTTAATCTTCACGATATACCCCTGTTTCTGCATCTTCGCAAATATCAACTCCGTCGTGTCCACTGGCGTATTCACGTTTGCGTTCAAGCGTTGGAGATACCGCATCAGCTTCTCATCAGAGATCCTTCCGCCGTTGAGCATGATTATTGACACGATGAGGGTGTAGAGACCCATGTATGCGCTTTCTGCGGAGGCGGAGGGGATGTGAGACGGTGTTATGATGGCGGGGATGTTGTATTTCTGCGGGAGAGTAGACTTGAGGATGTACGAGCGGTTGGTTGATGTAGCGGCGGCCTTTTGTACGGCGGCTAAAGCTTCTTGTAAGCAACCAGAACGTATCAAAGGGGAAGTAACTGGCGGAGCGCATACCTCGCCTGTCCTTCAGCGTGACCTTCTCCTTTGAAGGCAGCTCTACCATTTGCATTCCAAACTTTTCCTCCAGCTGAACTTGCGCCTCGTCGAATAGTTGCTGAAACTTGCGGCCGCCGTGCTTCGCAAAGACTGCAGAGCAGTGTCAGCCAAACGCACACCTACCAGTCCTACCGCACATACCTTTCTCTCTAATCCCCTCTCTCCTGATCGGCACTCGTCCAAATTCACACGCCAGTGCATAGCGCACCAACTTCATCACCAGCCCAGAGTTTTCCCTTGGGTTGGCCCCGGCCTCTGCGTCTCCATCCGCGTCGACCATTGTGGGCTCATCTACGCCATTTTGTGTGTATTCTTCCTCTTCCTCTTCCGCGGGTTGGTTCTGACGTCTGCGCTGAGTACTCCGTGGCCCTTCGTCTTCGGACTGTTCATCGGAGGATTCTGGTGCGACTTCCTGGATCTTTGTTAACATAAGACAAGGCTGAGGGATCATGAAAGCTTACTGCGCGGCGTTTTCGTCCTGGAGCCATGGTGGAAGTTCGCTGGATAGGGAAGTGTATTGCACAAAGGGAATTTCTATTTTATCGGCTTTGTGGAATGCGCCGGTTTGGTTTACGTTGCGCCGGGATGGGGTGAGGTCACGGCGGGGTTCCGTCGCCAATGTCACGTTCGGGAGGACGCGACTGAATTAAATTCTGGGAGTGGCGTTTGGTGAGGCGGCCACTATAAAACTCTCCCTACTTCCCAGACGCCATAATTCTTCCCACTCACATCAGTTGCATATAACATAAAATGTTACGAAAACTCATAGTAAAATATCGTCTAAGTACTGTTTCTACTCTAAATTGGTATATATGCTGTTCTTGTAGATGAGAAAAACTGAATCGTCAACATGATCGCCTCCTATAATTCAAGTAAATATCCTTCAGGTCGCATAAACGTATCGCGGACTTCTATCGCCCATATCTTCGATCTCAACATCTGTCTTCCCTTCTATTTTCCAATCCTCCTTCCCCATCGCCCTATCCTTGTTGACTTTGGCGTAGTAAAACATCATTCCAAGATATATCAGCGCCGCCATTCCCACCATAGACAGACTCGTTCCATGTCCCATGATGTAGTTTGGTCCGTCGGCAGTTGGATACATGAAAGGCGTGGCAATGCCTGCAATGTTTCCAAACATAAGCTGCAATCCACTGGCAAGTGTGCGCTTCCCGTATCGAGGAAGGTTGCCGGGAAGCCACGCGAGCGGTAGTCCAACAGAGACGTACAGGCCCATGGCAACGAGGAAGCAGCCAGCATAGCTGACGCCGGAGCTGGCGTGAGATAGAAGCATTCCATAGCCCACCATAGACACCACAGCAAAGACGCAGGTGTACAGACCCCTCTGCTGCGTCCTGTCACTTATCCACGCAACTATTAGATATGTGATGGCTCCGAGCGCATAAACTGGAACGGTCAGAGCTTGCGACTCTGCGACAGTCCAGTGGCCGATCCCTTTGATGATTGTAGGTAAAAACGTGCTGAATCCGTAAAGCATCACATCCTCGCCAAATTGAGCGATAGAGAAAGCCCAAAGCTGGAAGTCCTGTGCTCCTTCCTTGACGTCGGCCCAGTGAAACTTCTGGCTCGATACCGTTTGTCCAACTTCGCGGAATCGGATGTTAACCATCAACTTGCGCTCGTCTTCAGTCAGAAAATAGGCCGTCTCCACATCGTTGGGCAGGAAAAAGATGCATGCGATTCCAACCAGAACGGATGGAATGCCCTCGAGGATGAAAATCCATCGCCAGCCACTCAGCCCAGCAGCCCCATCCATGAAGCTGATCCCATAAGCGATGAGTCCACCACACGCGCCAGCAATGGCAGCAGATGTGAAGAGGTAGCCGATACGGACAGCAAGCTGTCTGCGGCTATAGAAGAGCGTGAGGTATGTGACTAGGCCAGGAAAAAGCCCGGCTTCGAAGACACCGAGAAGAAGGCGGCAGGCAACCAGGGAGCCAAAGCTATGGACGAGACCTGATAGTGTCGCAATAATTCCCCATGTTATGGTTATGACTGCTATATATCGTCCTGGCTGGAACTTCTTGAGAAGAAGGTTGGAAGGTACTTCGAGTCCCTGTTGATGTTAGCCCAGGAATGAAGAGGGGAGCAAGAGGCATTTACGCAGTAAGTGACGAACAGAATCGAGACGGCTATCTGATACTGGTTCCCTTTTAAGTTGAGTTCGTCTTCCATGCCATACAGTCTGGCATTGCCGATATTGACTGCGTTCAAGTCAGCGACGTCGGAGGGAACTGGAGACAGCAAGGTTGTATCTCTCGGAGTGTAAGTAACATACCACGATCCAGGAAGCTGAAGAGATATAGGAGTATAATCAGAGGAATAATGTGCATGTCCACCTTCCTAACCAATGCCTTCTCAATTGCGGTCTCTGGCAAATCGGCGGCCGAGGTCGGATTCATCAGCGCATTTTTGGAGTCATCGCCGGTGGCAACGCCCTTTTCATTGACCTCGCTCATCATGTCCAGCTGCAAATATGGTCGTTAATTTTGCAAAAGCAGAGAGAATATGATGAAACATACCACAGTACGAGGCGATTGAATAGGTTTTACAGGTCTGGCCAAGGCCAGGAAGTTCGTTGTACAGAACTCAAACGTGGACGATGCTACCCTCGTGAGACACGGTGATTTATCAGCCTTGCACAAAAATTTCCTTGGCGACTGGATAGCCTTGGTGGGGTCGCACTTGTCAAAACTACCCCACATCACTACATACAGTAGTACAAGAACGGCGGCATTTTAGGAAAGGGATATCATTGATTCTCTGAGCTAGTATATTGATAGCAAATATCTAACAAAACATAGATATATGTAGGTATCTTGAGCAAAATAGTCGAAAATAATGTGTGTAAGTTCAGTCCCAACATCCCATTAGTAACGCTCCATGCTTATCATCGTCTTCCCCTTTCCTCGTACAACGTTAATTTGTCATGTTTCCTGGTCCATATTCAAGCAAGTTATATAGCAAGTATAGCAAGTATAGCAAAATCCCTATCCATCTGTTGTGATGTCAGCAGTTCACTGTTTCACACTCATCATAACTTCCCCGCCTTCTTCCTGGGTGACTCTCAACAAGTTCTTAGTTGCCAAGCTGAGGACATGATGAAAGGCTTGAGCAGCCACGACGCGGTAACTTTCCTGCGGAGGGAATAAAGTCTCAAAGCCGACCCAGTTCTCTCTAGGTTCATCGTCGCCATCTTGGGAGTCCTGGTCTTCCAGGTCCGCCTCTGCCTCCTGATGTGAGCACTTCACAAACTCCAGGAAATTGAGCGACTCGGTCTCCAGCGCATCTGCCACCCACTGGCTGTTCTGAGCAGTCTGTGTATCAACGGCTGCAGATGGTCCAAGGGCTTCGAGCTCTTCGTTTTCAAAAACAGATGAGCTTCTCACGCCTCCAGCAGGAAGCTCCATGTCATTGTCGCTGAGAAGTCTACCACGGCCGAGTAAGGGGCTGGCAGATGGGTGCCTGGATCCTGGTCTGCTTGGAATAACTGATGAATGGCGCCCTTGTCCAGGTACCACAGAAGACGATCTATGGCGGAACGAGTTGACAGATGCAGACACATTCCATGGCATGGCCGACGAGTGGTGGTCTTGAAGCGGCGTGAATGCCTCTCTTCCTTGCTCTACGCCACTTGAGTCGTCTGGATATGGCATCATCTCATCATCAAAATTTGGCATGAAAGTATCCTCTCCAACAGCTCGTGGGAGCTGAGGCTCCAAGTCGGGTCGAGCGCGAACATTGCGGGCTGCTTCTTCGTCATTCTCATCGAAAGCGGAACGGGCTCTTTTCATGCGTCGGCCTAGGGTGCTCGCTACTCCAGTGAGAAGTTCTTTCAACTTGTCTCCGCTGAAAATATCGAGAAGATGTGGAACATTTCCAGAATACCGGATTATTTTGCCGATACCTCCAATCCCATTTCCCCAGATGAAAATGCTCGCATTAGCCACGGCATACTTATTGATGGCTCTCATACGCTTCGCATGTTTATCCTTGGCCATGTTCTGAACATAGTTCGTCTGCCACTCGCTGAGCTCAGAGTTGCGAATATCAAGCCGGATATCCACGTCTGAGATGACTTTGAGAGCCTTTCGTTGCCGTTTCTTCTTCATTGGTACCTCCGCTGAGACTGAAGATTCTTCGAGGCTAGACTCATTGTCCCCACGCAGCTTAGCTCCCTGGTGTTTTGGGAATGCCTCCGCGTCGGGAAGAATATTCATGTCGTCGTCCATCTGCATGATGAAATCTCCGTCATCGTCAAGTCTGCCTGGGCGACCAATGAGCGCCTCCTCATGGTCACGCCTAACTCTCTCGCTGGCAGCAGAGTCGCTTTGAAGACGGCCGGTTCCAGCAGGGTAAACACCCGTCCTTCGGCGTTCGAGCTCTTCCGCATTCACCTCGACCATAGCACCATCAGCGTCGAACTCGAAGTCAAGGTCATCCAACAGGCCTGGTTCATCACCGTCAAATGGATTGACTCCGCTTGGTGTTTTCTGAGCAGAAGATCCTAATTGAAATCGCCCAGGGAGCTGGAATTGTCCCGTGATATCACTATCCGAAGCTGGAATTTGCAAGCCGATGATAGAAGCTTGAGAGGAGTTCGAAAATCCAGACGCGTTAGATGACTTCAATGAGGAAAGCATTGAATACTGCGAGTCCTTGAATCCTTGGTCGAGTATGCTGAAGTCCAATGGCGGGAGAGATGGCAGAGCCAGGCCTGGTTCGAATGCTGGGTCGTCCATGAGCATGAGCTGGTCGGGGCTACGTATATTAGCACCATAAAAAGGAAGTGGGTATGGGTACTTACCGTGCTGCGCCAGCATTGAGATCAATTGCATTGTTCTTCATGACCTTCAAGAGGGCCCTCATGTTATTCTGGGCAGTCTGTGCATCATGGAGAACGTAGCCACACTGTTGATTATAGACTCGAGAAACTCCGTATCTTCGGGACCGTCAGTATAGTATTCATATTCGGAGGGATGAACTGACAGGAGACTACTCTGAAGCCTCAGTGCCATCGGGGCCTCAGGTTGTATGATTGTCTCGCATGCTTTCCTGACATCGACGCCGAGGATCTGCTTCCGTTTGACTTTCAACGCCGTCGACGTTGGGCCAAGAGTTCCAACCAACCTGGAAGTAATGAATGTCAATAACTGCTCTGTTTAAACTATGGTGATAGTACTGATAGCAGTTGAAAGGGAGAAAATAGACGTACCAGACGGTGGCCACTCCATACTTCCGGCTCGTCAAGACTAGACACCAAATCAGCCATCCAATATTATATCGATAGTCTATCTCAAGGTTGGAACAACTTACTTTCGTGACTGTAGAACATTTTGGCTGTCGGACAATGAGATTCGAGTCTTGATGCGCCAGGTTTCAGTGCTTTCTCTCAGATCTTCTGGATGATCCTCGAGTTGACCCCGTGAAATGTGAAATGACAAGAATCCAGATAGTTCAAACCCTCTATCGTATGTACTACAGCATATAAATTTGAACTGTGCTTCAAGTTCTTTAGTGGCAGAACAACCAGCCTACCATGGCCTGAGCGGTGGTGAGATAGGATCAAGGTTTGGCTCTCAAAATCGAATAGAAAAAGGTCGAAAGGGGTTCGAAGAGATTACAATGAACGTGTTTCGGAATTATAAGGAGGGTACCGTAAAGAATGTGGACATGTAATGGTTAATAGGAGTTGAAGGTAAAATGTGATGCTTGTAGAGGGAAAGAGAGGTGAGGTTATAGAGGTGCCTTGACGCGTCGAGGCCTCTTACTCCTGCTTGACTCTCTTCTCTTATCGATATCCCCGTTTTTTTATTTATAGCAACCTACCCTTGAGAATTACTGTTCAACCTTGGCCAAAGGCAAATGGAATATTTCAAGATAATTTATATCACAAGGGCTTGGTATAAATGAGGATATGTTACAACTAAACAACCAAAATGCCAGAAGCCTAGCTTGCCATTTCCTATCTACCTCTATATCCATTGTTTCCATATGCTGGATTACATCTATTAACCAAAATCTACTCCTTTATCGTAACTTCTTGAAGATTCTCAGCAGATGAACCCTGGCTGCTCTCTCCAACCGTCAAAGGCCATTGACCACCCCTCACAATGTGCTGTTTGCTGCTTGTGGTGATCGGATCTGAACTACCAAGTGATTGCGGAGACTGTATCAGAGGTGCCATAGTCCCAGACGAATGTCTGAGCTTGTTAACACTATTGTGCCGTGAATGCCCGGCCTTACCCAAGCTCCCAGCCATCATCTCCTGTTGCCACAAGGTAAAATCTTGCGAACTCCAACTTGCTCGGTGCGCCCGAGCACCAAAGGGGAGACCACCGGGCACAGAAGATGTGCCCAAAGCGCTATTTGCCCGACCACGTCTTCCGGAGACAATGGGCTGGGATTTGGGATCCGTCATGACTGCTAGGATATCTGCTTGCTCATCTTCGATCTTTGGCTCGCGGTGGACGCTATTGACCTTGAAGTATGGTTCTATTGGCTCTGCTGGCTTTTCGGGTTCTTTAGGCGGGGGAGGCGGTGGTGGGATATCCAAAGCAGCCCTTTCGAGATGTGTAAAATATTTGTAGCGAATACCCTCTAACCACCGAGGCTTGAAGTCTTCGCGATTTCGTGTGAGGCTCATATAACTCGATATTGCGCCCAGGACTATAAGGATGAGAGTTGCGATCGCTACAACCCCTTGTGTAATAACAATAACAAATCCCACGATGGTGGTAGGAATTCGGGCCATATTATACCGTGGTAGAAATGCGATGGACAGGCCAGCTGTCACAACTTTGCTCAGGCCGAGTAAATATACGGCCAAGGCTGTGTTGCGATTGCCCTCGAAAGGATTTAAGGCGACGATAATTATCATCGCTATGATCTCCACAACAAATAAACCGACGACTTGAGCCTCGGGGTTTCTGGATGCTCCGCCAACAAAGCAGGCACGAACGAACTGGTAGAGAAACCACAGCGCGAAGAACCACCATCGTGTCCGTCTGAACCGTCCAGAAAGCCACCCGTAGCGCTTAATAAATGTTGGGTCTTCATGAACACCAGGTCGTAGAGGGTCATCATCGACGTATCTGACGACAAACATGGGAAAGGAGCCCAACACCGGAGGAGAGTCGATGTGTGTAGCAGCAGTTTCGTCCGCATCAGTTGTCTTACTGTGCCATGAGAATCCAGGCCAAGGTATGAACTTCCACACTTTCTTACGGGAAATGATAACGTGATCAAATCCACTCTCATAGCGCCCAAAACGAAGCCGATTGAAGCAGCAATGTGCGGCAATCCCAAGCAAGCCAACGAGGAAGGTAACGAAAACGATTGCTGCGATTGCAGTGACTCCTGCAGGACCCGAGATCGAGAATTGATAAATAGTCAATGTCATCATCATGAAGAATGCGACCATCATAGTTCGTAGTATCGCCATTTGGACGTACCCAACCCAGTGGCTTCTGAAGAAATCTAACCGGTCTTTCCGGATCCATCTAACAGTGCTGAAGCCTTCAAGAATCCATTTTAAGCCAACAATCAGTCCAATGACTATGACTAAGGCAATCAAGAACCATATGAATCCCGTCATAAAGGCATTTGGTGCTGGAATCCCGATTTCAGACAGTTCCCCGGTGAAGTTCGACCAGACGCCCGGGAGTGGTAGACTACTTCCGGATTTGCCTCCATACCAGCTATATCCAGGGTCTTGTGAGGCACTGGCGCCCACAATATCTCTTACACCAATGATGTGATCTAGCACCTGGCGCATAATAGTCCTGGCGCCAGCTTTGGGCGGTACGCCTCCCGGAGGTTTACCAGGTTTACCATATATCTGCGAAAGCGCGTTGCTACCGAGCGAAGCGATTGAAACGCCACCGACATGGCTTGAGTTCCCCTGATCTGTGCCGAGAAAATTGCTGATCGATCTTGTCATGCCCGCGTTATTGATCATACCAGCTGACCATGCGAAATTGCTCCACCAAGCAACGCAGACGCTCGGCCATTGCAATGATAGCGCACCAGAGAAAAAAACCGATTGGAACAACTCAAATATCACAAGAACAGAGAGTGAATGGGCGTAGTGTGTCCTCATAACTGGTACGTTGACTCCATATATAGCAGTGGCTGCGGACGCCAGCAAGGCAACTGAAGTGAATATGGCAAGCACTGACCCAACAGCCTTTGGATGTGAGAATGTTGCGCCATTTGTCATTACAGCCTGGTAACAGCCTATTTCTGTCTTGGTGGTATTTGAGTATAATCGTAGAGTTGCATAGCCTTCGAAGTCGGGAATGACGAGGGCAATAGGCGGAATTCCGGAGACCATGTCCTTGGTTACTGGTATTATTGCCTCTGCAGCTATTGGGGTGCTTGCATTCATAGGACACAGGCTGCAATAAGTTAGGAGCTGATAGCTTATCGAATCTGGGGACTTGCCTGTAGATATTTGCACTGCAAGGGTTAAATATCATGTCAAAGCGATCCTCGCCATCTATAGCCAGAGTCAGTTATGTTGGGCCCGTATTCACATATGGAAGCACCATACAAGCATCTACAGAGATGTACGCTAAAACAGTTATTAGCTTTCAACAACCTTCAAGCAAGGATTTGAGCCATACCCATGATATTATCGTGTTTTATCTTTGTTGTGCCGGTCAAATGGAACATAACCGTCATGTTATCCGCGTAGTAGGCTGCATCGAATCCAGTAACGTCGATTTGAGAATTGCCGCCCAAGCAGTCTCCAAATTTCCCAGTGTATAAGGCTGGATACCGGTCGTTTGCCAGAATTATAGTTTTCGCGCGCGAGCCAGTGCCTTTTACAGTGCCTTTTACGAAATTCCCAGCATCCGATGCTGCGTGGACCAATGCTGGCAGCGTCGCGGCCAGAGCCACAGTCAGAATTGTGGCGCCCCATGGCCTCAATGGAGCGAGGAACCCCTTCATGTTTATGCAATGCTCTTAGTCGAAGGTGAAGACTGATGTCAATTCCATTGTCAAGATTCGAAGCTTCATACCATTGCGGAAGGCGTAACTTTCTGGCGGTGAATGGTGCTCAAGAAGGCATATGATCATATATGGCAAGAGTAGAATGTGAGATAGGGCCGAGAGTAAGAGGGAATGAGGAAATATGACGGAATCTAGAAGATAGATAGACGACAGCAACAATCACGAGGGCAGTGACGTTGTTGTCAGTTAATAAAAAGAGCTTAACTTATTGGGCTGGGCATACCTAATATTTTAAGTATGCCCATTGTTGAAGTGTATGCACATGTACGGCACTGTACTAAGTGGAGAAAAGCAGGGTTTTTGAGAATGACATTATTGTACTTGGTATTGGACCGTCGCATATCAAACACGGGAATTAACGAAAGAATAGAGGCCATATCGTGGAGATACGGTGTGGTTTGGTAGGTTCCTTGGTGAGCTGGATATGAAGTGCAAGTGGTTAGGTGGGCTCGGCGGGCGGTTGGCAAGATGGGGACGTGGTCAACGTTAATCCGCTTCGGGGAGAAGCGCTGCCGCCATTGGACCAGCCACGGTGATCTTCATCCAAGGGTTTTGCTACAACGCATCCAAGGTGGATTTTGTTGTATCTTGACATCGGGAATCCTGGCATCTTGACTTGGCAGCTCCTCCAAAAGGTTCAATGGTACGAAATGCTCCAATAACAACATGCTCTACTACTGTTGTTGGGGCAAGGCCTTACTTGGATGATAAACTCGCATGGTATTTCAGTTTGGGAATAATTGTCAGGTCGGCTTCTTATCAATTCCCCATGCACGTACTATATCTGATTGTCCATTAGAGATGCCAAGATGCTGATCCGGTAAGTTCGGGCATATATTTTTGATGACGGTAGAGCCCATTTCCTTGCAAGTGCCACCGCTAGACATGGATGAGTTCATCTTGGGAGGTTGGTGAGGCACCGTCATACATTTCAACTTTATTTTATTATTAATGACTTAATTATGATTAAATATTCTACACCAACGAGAATTTATTATGGAAATCAAGATTGTGATTTTATTATGAAAAGTAAAATAATTGGATAGTGTTCCAACTTAAATAATGAATATTGACTTTGGATTAGTCATTTTGTAAAGATATTCTATGTTTCATCTGATGTATAATTTACTCCCAACCCCCCAGTTGGAGTCGGCGCCGTCTATGCGTCTAGCTTTAGCCTCTCTAGTAGTTTATCTATCTTCTCCAGCAAAATTTGATAGTTGATAGAATCCGAATCAAACTCATCCCCAACCACCTCACCGTCTAATGTTCTAATATTAGCCCCATATATACTTTCCATGCTTTCCTGTGGTATTTTGTCATCGTTAACAACATTTCCATCGGTTTCGGCATCATTTCCGGCATCTTCGGAAATTTGCCGATTCTCATCCATCATTTCCTCCATGCCAGTACCTTCGAAGCGGAGCCGGAAGCGTTCCGAGAGGTAGTAGCGGATACTATATCATAGTTAGCTTGGGCCGTTGGTAATAGTATATCACTAGACATACTCATCAAGTAATTCAATACTATCAGTCTCCTGTCGCTTCTCAATCCTCGACGCACTCTCCTTGATCAGCTCCTCGAACTCTTCTTCATCGATGTAGTCTTCCAGCCTATAAGCTAGATACCGCGCCGCGAATTCTTCCAGGCGCTGCACTCGAGTCAACCACCCAGCTCGAATGACATCGTAGATATTTATTGTTTCCTCTTCGGTCTGTGTAATTCTAACGCTTGCCGTCTCGTCCACCAAGACGTCTCTGTCTCCATTGCCAAGTGTGCTGATAATAACAGCAGCCTTTGCCTTCAGCTTTTCGATGAAGAGCATATCTGCTGCCAAAAGCACATCTATGGCAATATCAAGTGAGAAATCGGCCTTTTCGGTGTATAAGAAGTTCAGAATAGCCTCCAGGACCTCTGGAGAGCAATCCACGGGTATAATTTGAAGATAAGGTGTCACCTGTGCTTCTTGGAATGAAGAGGAGAACATTGTCATGAAGTACTCGGAACGGATAAGTATCGCTCGATGTACCGGGAAGAGAACTGATTTATCCGATGAAGAGGCCAAAGCCAAAGGTTCAGACGCCGAAGGACCTATAGGAATGCCATTGCCTTGCAATGCATCGCGCCGTTCATCCTCCGAGGGCGTTGGTGCTTCCGTCTCTGGGTCCACATCTGCCCTGAGGATGACATCTGCAAATATAGTATTGTTGCGATCCCATTTAACATTGTTTGCTTTCTTCGTATCTAAAATTATCTTGTGCTTCAACACATTATCGCGATACCAACTCTCAAGTTGATCTCGGCCTCGGGCGACCTCGTCCTGGTGTCGCTGTCTCGCTATTCGTCGATCTTCGCCTGCGAGTATGCCTTCCCAAAGCGACTCAATCTCCAAGTGCTTGCCCACTTTGTCGATTCCTTTGAGCACATCTTCTTCCGATATCCTACTCTTTGGGCCAAGTCCGAGATCCACTGGAACTTCTCCCAGATACAGATATCGAAGGGCTATTTCAAACGACTCGTCGGGAATTACGGGCGCTAGTTTCCACTGCGTTGTTTCGGGAGCCAGCGATAGTTTCTTCCTGAAATATGGCGATCGAGCAGATAGAATAAATTTATGGACATGAAAGTCTTCAGTCCCTGAAGTGAGGGTAATATCTGAGGTTTTTGGCACCCGTTTCGTGAGGAGAGATGTGATGTGGGATGCGAGGGGTTGCAAGGGATCGGAGCTCTTGGAATAGTCGTATTGAAGCAGGAGGTTCCTTATTCGATTGGTGAGGGCATTGTAAAGACATCGTTCGCCTTGAAACGTATCCCTCTCGCAAAGCGCTCCTGATTCTAACAGTAGCTGGACGACTTCGTAATGGCCACAGAGACTTGCCTGGTCCAACATTAGCATGTATCCCGGGAAGAATGCAGCGAGCATACTCAGGTGGCAAAACGAACCAAAATTAATGGCGTATAATCAAATATATCTCTCGCGTTTATGTTCACACCTCCCGCGATCATCTCATGGCAGTCTTTAAGATCACCCCGCCTACACGCATCGCATAGTCGGTTGAAGTCATTGCTCGTATCCAAAGGGCTGTCATCGCGAAGGACGCCCTCTTTTATTAATTGATGCTCGTCTTTAAGCTGGATCTCCAGTTCATCCTTTCGTAGTACCATGCTGGACGGTATATAATTTAAATATATAACGTCGTCCGCCGACCAGCAGCTTGGATATAAATTGAATTGTGAAGTGGCGGGGATGGACCCTCCAAGGATTCGTCTTATCGATTAGAGAGCGTATTACTAAGGGTGTTTGAGGGTGCGTTGCTGGGGCAGCGACGGGGTGTTTACTAGCCGATGTCTCCAACCAGACGAGACCTCCGAACGAACAAGACGTGAGAACTAACCAAACAGCATTTAAGTTTGCGCATGGCTATTCGACTGCCATATTATATTCAAAATCGACAACAACTAATCTGTCTCCGCCGTGCCATATAAAATGTCGGAGTCGGAGAAATACGAGGTGTTGGAAAAGATTGGTACGTTGCGCCGATGACCACTCCGTGCGACCAAGACTGACAATATATTTTCAGGCCATGGATCATTCGGCATCATTCGAAAAGTAAAAAGGAAGAACGATGGCGAAATCCTCTGCAGGAAAGAGATTAATTATATTCGAATGTCGCAGAAAGAGCGCGAGCAACTTCACGCTGAATTCGCCATCTTGTCGTCGCTCAGACACCCGAATATCGTTGGCTACTACCACCGAGAGCATCTGAAGACGACACAAGACTTGCATTTGTACATGGAATACTGTGGAAATGGTGACCTCGGTCGCGTCATCAAGGATTTGCAAGCCAAGAAACAATACGCCGAGGAAGGGTTCGTGTGGAGCATGTTCTCACAATTGGTAACTGCCCTATACAGGTGCCATTATGGAGTCGACCCGCCAGATGTAGGGTCCAACGTCTTGGGCCTTGGAAATACTGCAAAGCCACGCCCACCGGTGGGAAATGTTATGATTTTGCATAGAGATCTGAAGCCAGAGAATGGTGGGATATTCATACCCTTGGAATTGAGGGATCCAGGCTAATAACGTTTCCAGTATTTCTCGGCGATGATAATTCGGTCAAGCTCGGTGATTTTGGGTTGTCCAAGATCATGCAATCCCACGATTTTGCTTCGACTTACGTCGGAACCCCGTTCTACATGTCTCCGGAAATCTGCGCCGCTGAGAGATACACTCTGAAGTCTGACATTTGGTCATTGGGCTGCATAATATACGAGCTCTGCTCGAGAGAGCCTCCGTTCAATGCAAAGTCGCATTTCCAACTGGTCCAGAAGATCAAAGAAGGAAAGATCGCGCCAATCCCTAGCGTTTATTCGCCGGAGCTCATGGGCGTCATCAAGGACTGCTTGAGAGTGAACCCGGATAGGCGTCCCGACACAGCAGCTCTTCTTAACCTCCCGGTTGTGAAGCTGATGAGGAAAGAGAAGGAGGTCGTGGAACTCGGGAAACTGCTGAAGACCAAGGAGGAACTTACTGCCCAGAAGCTCCGCGAAGCTGATGAGAAGATAAGCCGGATCGAAAATGACAAAGCGAAAGTAAGGGCCGAAATCGATGCCTCTTTGAGGCGCGAATGGGAAGTTAAGGCAAGATTGGAAATCGACAGGCTTGTAAAGCAAGAAGTTGAGAAACTGCAGAAGAAGTTTGAAGCAGAAGTGCAAGAGAGGGTGGAAATTCTCGTGGCAGAGAAATTAAACACCCCCAGTGCTTCGAGCGATACTGTGACCATTGAGGACTTCTCACGATCCAGTATGCCAAGCGATATCCCAACTTCGTCTGTCAGCACCAGCGGAGAGTTCGATTTCCCTTCGACGACGGATCTTACAGATCTATCATTAGACTCGCCAGAGCCTATAAAACCGACAAAGAAAACCACACGGACACCATTCGGCAGAGCCCAAACAATGTTTGCTGGAACCCCAATGGATGTGGAAATGGCAGATCCTTCGCCAATGTCGATCGCATCTCTGTCGCTATCTCCTCGTCGAAATGGAGGCGCAAAGGCGCCAGCTACAGGCCGAAATATCTTCGCGGAAGGTGGAAACCCGCGTGATAGATGGCAGGCAACCCTGATGACATCTGATTCTGAAGATGAGGATGACATGCCTCCGATCCCATCGCCGACCAGACAATCTTCGGCGAACCCATTTAAGCCATCGAGTGCACGCCCTGCCCTACTAGCACAGAGAACAGCGCCTATGCCACGGATCTCAAACATGTCGAATCTGAATGGAGCTGCGAGAGGAATTACGGCGCCATCCCTGCCAACTCAAGGCAATAATCTTGGTCTCCGACCTGCCTCAAGCAGTGGCGCCTTGAAGGAGCGAAGCACATCACCAAACCGACGCCTCTCCAAAATCCCTTCCTCCTCAAACCTCCATGCTGCGGATCTTGGCTCATCACCCACCCGGAAGCCAAGCCTCACAAGGAAAACCGCAACAAGCACCGACCCATCAGAACTTAATAAATTCGCCATAAAGAACAACATGGCTATGAAGGTCAACCTGCCTCCGAAAGGGCGCACTCTGGTCGAACTCGCGCAGGCACGAGCTGGTGGTCGTCAGTTGGATATTAATGATAATGTTATCGTCGATGAGAACTCGCCAAAGTCGAAACGCGCCTTTGCTGATCGTATGGCGCAACGAGAAGCTGCCTCATGGGATCCGGAGCGCGACGAGATGCCAAGTCCTTTCCTTGTGAGGACTAGGCAGCCGATCAGGAGGATGTGATGATGTGTATGACGGACCTTTGGAAACTGCAACGAATGAATGATAAGGTCGAAGTAGGGGTCAGGCTAGGGCGGGGGGCAAGGGGTGGGGGATACATGAAGGCGTTAGTTTGGGTTTGAGGGTCATCACCTGGCAGCTTTTTTCATTACTTCTATATTGCATACTTGCTGAGGTTCATGGTTGCCTAGGCCTGGATATTGGTGTCGTGAAGGCTATATAAGACGGTGTTTGGCGACGGGGCGGTTGGAGAGGGCGTTTCGGTCCTTTTGGTACTGTAGTTCTTACATAGAGGAGATTGCACATGAAATCATTAACACATACCTGGCACTTCACAACTCAACAAACTTGAAGATAAAATCTTAAGACGTGGATTTTTAGAAAATATGGCCCATGGCGAAGCGCTTAAGCTGCTCATCGCGAAATATGATAAATCACTGGAGAGACCGGGAGAGACCGATTGTTGGAACGGCTGGTAGCATGTGGTCATGGCTTTGTTTTGGTGTTGCAGATCAACGGGACCCGGGAATTGTTTGTTCCAGGGCTGACAGGGGAACAAGCCGGAATGATGGAAAGAGTGGCCAGAGGCACGAGCCTGACGACGACAAAGATTACAGGAGTCAACTGATCGCGCTGACACCTACCTGTCCGAATACCCTCAATTGCCTAAAGTCCATCGATGTTGCTTGCAAGTCTCCGCCCTACCTCAGTTGCGATCGCTTCAGACGTCGATGATTTAATCTCCCAACTTTATCGCAACTGAACCCTGAGGACACCCTAATTGTTGTTATCTTCGGATCTTCAACCCGGTTGGAACTTGGCCAGGACCTGAACCTCGAACCCATCCACGCGGCTCGAGGCCACCGAACAGATGCACGCCATAAGCCAAAAATGTCGCCCGAAGCATCAGGTTTTGGTCTTGAAATGCTATCCAAGAATTACGAAGGGCGCCGTTGACGTCAAGCCAAATTCCAGCGAGTTGAGCTATCTCTCATATTACGCAACAACACGGCGCAGCAAGGTACAAAAAGTTGGAGCTTTCCTGGAGACCAAGACAGCTAGTGATGTCTGGAGAGCGCGCATAGGGTAAGTTTCATCTCCTTTTGGTCGCTGTGGATGGAAAGTGTTGCGATCAAGAGTTGCCCCTCAGCCATAAACAAAGCTAATTTTCCGGATCGCATAGGAATGTCCAAGTAACCTTACAAATACTGGAGGCGTTGATCGAGAAAACTCCTCGCGACCTCCCCCTATACGCGCGATATGTCTTGAAGATTCTCCATCTTATCCTGAAGTCTGGCGATATTACGATGGTCGAAGCTTCCATACCAACATTTGAAGCTTTCTGTGAGCATCATGATGGCGCCTCGTTGTCGGCAGACCAGGAATACCTCAGACACTACGAAGATATAGTCAGAACTTATGCATCATTTGCATCAACCCGCCCTAAGCCACCGCCAATAGTTTCAGCGAGTGCGCCCATGGCGATGAGGTGGAGAGTTGCTGGCCTACGCGCACTTAAAAGTGTTGTTTCCTCACAAGCTCTGGGATCCGTGGCTGGGAGACAACTTGGTGTCATTATGCCCGTACTTCTCGAGAATTTGTGGACCGATAACCCAGAGTATCTCGACACTCTGCTCAGTAGGGCTTATTTAGAAGAGAGGGTCAGTTCTGAGAAGCTCCTACCACGACGAGGAAGTATTGCGACTGTAAGAACTGTGGAAACAACAACAGACGTAAACCCAATAGCACTTTCTGGTACTACAGCCGATGCCGACAAACTCGCCGAGGAGGACATTGGTGTTCTGGCCATCCAGTGTTTGAAGCAGATCTTTGAGGTCAACAGCAGATCTCAAATTCGAAGTGGAACTCTCGCAACACTGAGCTTCATTTCGGATAGAGTCATCCAAGGCGAAGTCCTGATCGACCAACAATATCCATACAGTGAAGACCGTGGATGGGCAACCACTGTATTTCTCATGTTTGCTAGGTGGACGCCCGTACAAGAGCGATACACGATACTCGTCACAGCCATGGATGCTCTTGTCAGAAGCCCCTTGAACGAAAACAGTGCGCCACAAGAACTTGTCCTTGCTACGATGATAGGCTCGTTACTGCGCTCCGATATCAATTTAATAGGTCTCAGCGTTATGGACGTTTTACTCGGTCTTATACAGCATGTTCTTCAGTTGCTCCACTTAGGCAAGGCAAAGTCTCCTATTCAGTCTACAAATGGAGGAGGTCTTGACGGCAGGTCATCGAAACAGACACTACCAACTACGAGTTCCGATAGAGTGGCCGCGGACGGCGTGCCGAACGCGCCTTCTCGAGTTCAGATAGATCTTTTGCGTGTTCTTGAACGCTGCATTGGAGATTTGGCGACCCATGTCTACTATGCTGATCAAATATCGGATATGATCTCAGCTTTGTTGCTTCGTTTAAAGCCGTTACCAGTATCAGTTACACCAACTGATGGAGCAACCGTCGAGGATGCAGAAGGTACCTCAAGTCTTGTTGCTGCGGCGGCAAATATTGTTGAGGATGGCAGAATCGATGGATTCTTTTCTTTCGACACGGCGAAGCTATCTGCATTGACAGCCGTCAAAAGCATCCTCACCGTGGCCACCAAACGATCGAAGATAGCCGAAAGTACTCTTGGTAGAACCAGAGTCGGACTTGGCGTGTGGGAGTCTACGCAATGGCTCTTACGTGATAGTGATGGGCTGGTGCGACTTGCATATGCTGATGCCTTTCTGACATGGCTGGACCGGGAGGCGAGTAGCGAAGAGCTTACTGCCTTGGACGAGAAATCACCCCCCCACACCCATCACAAGGGTATTATGCGAACCTCTGGCGACGATTCTACCGACAACATGGCAAGGCGTGCAGTTTCTGCTACGTCGCATAGGGAAAGGGCAGCAAAGCTTCAGCAGACGAACGTCATTGAGCTTCTCCACCTCGCAATATACGAAAATGCACTCCAGTATACGGATTCTGAACCAGATATTGGCTTGCTGCACTTACTTCTTGTCAAACTGGTTGACAAGCTGGGCATGAATGCTGTTAAGAGCGGACTACCTATGATTTTCCGCCTCCAGGAAGATATCCAAGACGCCGAAACGCTTGCTAAGGTGCGCATGGGTAGTCTCTGCCATGGCTATTTCTGGGCATTGAGCGAAAAATTCGATTTGAGATCGTCTGGAATTGGAATGGAGATTTACGATGAGATATTCCGCCGCCAAAGCAAGGGCTTCTGGGCCAAGATAATCCAAATGCCTCCTGTGCCACTGCCGGAGCTTGGTATCCCAGGGACGATATCGCCACATCAAGGTCTACCTACGCATGAACTCGAGTCCGAATCCCTTACTCCATTTGATGATCGGGAAACACTGGTCGAGCTGATTGAAGTGTCTTATTCCCAAGCATCTGCAGCAGCGACTAGTCCAGTCTCGTCGCCCAACCGAAGCTTCAATCATCCAATTCTAAGTCAACCCCAGGAAGTCCAAAGCCCCGTCGCTACTATCCCAGAAGCTGTCAAGGAGGAGATGCTATCTGAATGGAGCAAAGAAGCTGTTCTTGCTTCAAGAATTACTGGCAGCAAATCCGTATCTCTCAGTGGATCTAGATCTGGAACGAATGCTACTGGACAGGCTCGAAACTACCTCACAGTTAACGGCAATGGTGGAGCCCTGTCAACTCATAGCTTGCACCAACAACGTAGCAGGCCGCCTTCCCAGGCATACGGGATCATAGGTGGACTGTCTGCGATATCAAAACTACGCCAAAGCACCGGCCCGGATCGCACTCCAAGTGATTCAAGCAAGAACTCCATAACTCGTGTTGACCATCTGAAGAGAGTCCTGTCTGGCCAAGCGCCACCATCAAGAGGCGTCGGTACTATTCACAACGACTCAAGCAGTGAGAGTATGCTGAGCTACGACGCATCTCCTTCGGAGTTTTCTTACGACAATCGTGGCCCCATAGCCGACAGGGGACGGAAGCCCTCAAACGAGATTCCACGATCGAAGTCTCAGGAGAGGACCATTGCCAATGAGGGTTTTAAGCCACTGAGGTCTCACCCTGTCCAGTCCGACTCTGTGCCCGCATACGGTGATGGAAGTGCGAGGGAGGCAGATGAGGAGGAGGTCCCACCGGTACCTCCATTGCCCGCGTCTTTGACCATCGGTGGCAGTCCAACAGGCGACGAGGACCGGTCGAGGAACCTAAAAACTCGAGCTCAAGAAATATCGCTTGGGGACTATCTGCAAAACGGACGGAGTGAGAGTCGCGGCCGGCGTACCCAGGAAGGACCTCAGAGTATAGAAAATGGAAAGCAGGGTCGCGAAGCCAGTCCAGGTCTGAACCTCGAGTTATTGTTGAAGGGTATCACCACTGGGAATGACAAACGCCAGGACCCAGGGATGGTAGAGCCTCCGTATTGATCTGGTTATGGCGCAGGAAGCTGTTGAATGTAGATTAGTATTATTGTATTTTGAGCGAAGCCAGCGCGCTGTGCTGTCTTGCCAGTTCTATTTTTTTCAGTCAAGAAGGTTCTCTGGGCGCGCATAGAGAGCATTTAAAAAGAAGTGTAAGATAGGGGTAATCTTAAGCCGTTACTATTATCACATGCTTGTCCCGGTGCCTGGGTTTTGTTGAGAGCGGCTGTGTAAATAAGAGTCAAGGTTCAAGGTTCGCGATGCTTGAATGGTTAATGGAGAACGGCGGGGTTACATCACTAATCACTGGGGTGTCCTGGGGTTCTAATTCCGGGGCAACCACAGTTCCGAGTGGTTGGTTGGCTTCTGGAACAATGCCTCGGCACGTTTGACGGCCTTGGCACTCAAAGCAACCGACCCATAGTGGTGGTTTCGGATGAGAAAAGATGCAGCATTTCTATAGAATATGAGACCGGTCCAACATCTCGAAATACATCTCGCACTCTTGAGCACTTTATAAGCACTTCAAACCCGCCATATACAACTCCGTACCTACCCTACTGTGCCCTGAGTGATCAAAGGCGCATCGCACCGCCCACAGCGCAATGTCGGACAGCAGGACAACTCTGGTTCGACCACCACCTCAAAACCCCGAACTTTCCGCCATCGAAAACACCCTTGAGCTGACGGAATTGAATGCAATCGGACCTGTATGTGCTATCTGTCTTGCCATCTCCCTCCCACCCCCCCCCTCGTCCCTGACAATCGCTGACCCCTCCGCCCCCCTACAGGATATCTTCACCAACACCCGCCCCCTATGGCACCCCCCCGGAGCGCGTGGCGTCTACGGCGGCGCCGTGATTGCCCAATGCCTCGCCGCAGCCCAGCGCACCGTGCCCTCCCACTTCACAATCCACTCCATGCACTGCTACTTCGTCCTCGCCGGCGACTCGACCATCCCCATCCTTTACCACGTTGAGCACGTTCGGGAGGGCAAGTCCTTCGCCACGCGCACTGTCCAGGCGCGCCAGAGAGGGAAGTGCATCTTCACTACCACAATGTCGTTCGCGAGAGAAGGGTCAGGAGGCCGTGAGACGGTGCACCATGCTGCGTTGATGCCGGAGGGTATTATGGGCCCCGAGCCTGACCTTCCGGGTGATAAGAGGGATGGGAGTTCTGGCCCTCCATTCGAGAGCCAGAGAGTAGCTATCCTGAATAACGACGGTGAGCCGAATGCGAAGAAAACAAGGCAGTGGATCCGCGCGAGGGGCAAGATCAGTGAGGCTGGTGGCCACGAGGCTCATTTGTCCGCTCTGGCGTATATGTCTGATTCGTACTTCATTGGCACGATTTCGCGTATCCACAACCTCTGGCGCTTCCCGACGCCGGGAAGTGCGATTGCGAAGAAGATTGAGGCGAATCCATTGGCTGCGGAGCAGATGCGCAGGAATAAGATTACGGAGGGCTTTGGGGACGATTTGGATAATCGAACTAATAGGCCGGAGATTGGGATGATGGTTAGTCTCGATCATACTATTTACTTCCATGAGCCGAGGAGCTTGAAGGCGGATGAGTGGATTTTCACGGAGATGGAGAGTCCGTGGTCTGGGGATGGGAGGGGCTTGGTTTTCCAGAAGATGTGGTCTGCGGATGGTAGACTAATTGCAACTTGCATTCAAGAGGTATGTAATCCACTGTTTATACAGCATAGATGCCCCTTTCACGCAGTATATGGTGCTAACGTTGATTTAGGGTGTCGTGAGATTACGACAGGATGCCCCTCCATCTGAATCTAAGCTTTGATACCCGCCCAGCTATAGATCGGATATGTTGTTTACGCATTAGATTTCCTACTGTATCTCTACATTTACCTACCTACATACACCAGATTTCCTTTGGAGCGCATATTTACGTTTAATTTGAACATTATACTGTACTTGTTGGTATTCAAGACAGAGCACTTAGAAAACATAGTCACTAGAGAAAGGGTCTTCACCCCAAGACAAAAAAACACACATAAAATCATTGATTGCATTGAAAGCCGATCTGTGAGTGGTTTATCATGATATAGCCATCCCAGGCATCAAAACACAGCCCGGAAGCTGTCCTCTCTCCCCAACCACATACCCATCAACCAACCGCTTAGTTAAAGGAATTCTTCTTGTCCTTGATGGGGAAATCAGACCCAGTAGCACTCTTGTACTGCCCACGGATGAAGTCCGCGATCTGCCCATCCTTCGCCTGCTCAATAGCGGACTCATTATCCTGCTTGCCCTGGCCCATGAACTTCTCCTGCACGAAATCAATGCCTATGAATCTGTTAGTACAGATCTGTGCAACCCAACTCGAAGAAATTCGCGGCACGGCTTGAAGACTGAGCACGGGGTCACATACCCTTGTCAAGCATATCCTCGTTCTTCTCGCTGTCGCGGCCACCGCCGGCAGCGGAGTTGACCTTGTCCTTCAGACCGTCCAAGAAGCTGCTGCCGCCGCTGCTCTGGTTGTTGCTGCCGCCAGAGTTATTATTGCTCTGGTTGTTGTTGTTGTTGTTGTTGTTCTGGGATGAGTTGACCTTGTCCATCAGGCCACCCAGGAAGCCGCCAGCGCCGCTCTGGTTGCTGCTGCCCCCGGAGTTATCATTCCTCTGGTTGTTGCTGTACTGGTCGTCGTTCCTCTGGTTGTTGTTGTTGTTGCTGCTGCCAGAGTTGCCGTACTGGTTATCATTGTTCTGGTTGTTGTTGTTGTTGTTGTTGCTAGAGTTGCCGTACTGGTTATCATTCCTCTGGTTGTTGTTGTTATTGCTGTTGCCGTACTGGTCGTCGTTCCTCTGGTTGTTGTTGTTATTGTACTGGTTGTTCCCAGAGTTGTTACCACCACCGTTGTTGTTGTTGTTATCACCAGCGCTGCTGGCAAGCTTGTTAATGAAATCCATAATTGCTACTTCTGTAGGTTCTTCAAAAGACTGTAGTTGATAGTAGACTGTAGATCTATAGGAATTGTAGTAGTTTATGTAGGAGAATGGTTCAATGAGGGGTCTGAATCAAAATACTGTGGAGGATAGCAGGACCCATAATATAGGGAGCCAGTGCCTGAGTGAGACATGATGCGTGTAAAGCAAGCTGAATGCCATGTAGGAAAGAGCAATCTAGCCAACTACTGAGCTGTGTTGCGCGGCTTGGCTTGGTGATGGTGGGGGTGCGAGTGCGGGGCAGCGTCGTCATGTCCGCGAACCAGTCATGGTTCTGTGTACCTGGAGGGGCAATGAGAGGATGGCATTTTGGAAGCTATGTCTTGGCAGCATCTGGGTATTGGATTCGTATGAGATAGCTTAAATCTTATATATCTTATTTTTTTTGCTGTTAAAATGTTTACATATCACAATGATGGGTTATTTCACTGGGCGTTATTAAACCCCAGCCGGGATATTATATGTGGAGATGCATAGCATAGCGCCAAATGAATGGAAGCCATCTCGTAGTTTACATTGATAATACAAAAGTACAAATATTGCTACAAGTTTACATCTATGGTGCCTTCTCTCCAGATACCAAAAGGATCACGCTGCCAAACTGCCGCCTCACATCCTCGCGGTCCACATCATGGGTATCCTATGTAGATATTAGCAACTTCACATCGGACAGAACCAGTAGAATAACTTACCTCCACAACACCCCACATCCCCAACTGATACTCAACCTCAAGCGTAGCCGCATTCGCAGCCTCCTCAATACCAAACTTCTTCTCCGGTTCCTCCCCCCTAAGATGAGCAAGCTCCTCGCTCCACTCCACAAGCAACCTAGCAGCAACAAGCAGCCCCTTGCCCGCAAACACCGCGTGTTCCAACCCAGCCAGCTCGTAGGCAGGAAGGCCCATGATCCACCCCTTGATCACATCTAACGTCTGCTGTGGCTGCGCATTAGGCATAATGCTGCCCTCGTCTAGCACAGGCACGATTTCCACGCCTGGCCACACACGCTCCGTCAAGTATTGGATGATAGGCAAGGCGGTCCTCTGCTGAATGGTCCGCAGACTCTCGGTGCGGCTAACGTGGGTCTCGTATCCCGGTGGGTCATCAGGCGGTGTAGGTGCCCAGCAGAGCAAGGAGTCGGTGTCAAGGTATCGCATCAGCGTCTCGGTGATGGTGTTGCGGAGGCCATTTGGGTTGGACGCTGATGACGACTTCTTGTCTTCTTCGGCGATGTCAAGAGCGCGAGACGTGAGGGAGGTGAGGGGGATGAGATGGTGGCGGAGAGCTTGCTGCGCGGAGACGAGTAAATCCCATTCTAAGGCGATGGCGTGGGCGAGATGGGGTTTGGTATGCGCGACGCTGAGGATCTGTTTCGTCGGGGTTCGGAGTGGGCGAGTGTCTAGGAAGATTTGATGACCATCTAATACACAAAAATAATTAGCAATCTGCTCTGCTATTCCATCGAAGCATACATGGATAACTGCATACCATCAGTCTTCTTGACATTGACGTCCTTCCAAAATCTCTTCGTCTTCGCCGAGCCGCCGCCAGTACCCTTTCCAATCGCCCTCATATCCTGGCCCCTCTTCAACAGCTCCGCCTGCTTCTTCTTCCGCGCAACTCGAATATCCGTATGCTCCACCGACGCAACGGGTGCGTCAGGCGGTGGCCCAGCCGCTGTTATCGGTGCGACATCTGCGGATAGACGAGATGTGGTGCCGAAACTCCGCTGGGTATATAATGCTTGCGCCGGGCGGCGAGGGAAAACTGCTCTGGCAGACCTTGCGGCCTCCGAGGACACTGATTGTGATATGCGCTTCATTTGAACAACTGCTGTGATGATGTTGGCATTGACACTGGACATGCGGTTGAGGGAGGTGGACATTACTATAATTTTGGGACATGTTTGCTCTGTTTGCTTCGCGCCAAGCCTGCCTCGGGAAGTCCTCATTGGGACAGCTCATTTCTCATTTACGTTCACATTTACATTCATATTTGTATTATACTTGAACTTTGAAGATGGTACAAAACTGACATTCGCACGTTCTATTAATCTCATCGATCGCAAGGCAAACCATTGCAGGGGAAACAATCTAGAAAATGCGCTCAACCCCATCCCAATTGCTCTCGCCCTTGCCAGCCTTCTCTCTCTCCTCCCAATACTGGCCCGTGAAATCCCAGTACTCTTCTCCAGTAATCGGGCACTTATTCTTCTTGAACCAATGAGGAATAAACTCCTCTCCGTTCATCTCTCTCCTCTTCCTTGTAGCTCTCTGCTTCTCCTCAACACGGTTCTTCTCTGTCGCAGCAAGAGCATACTCTCCATCTTCCATAGCCCTTTGATCCGGTCTTAATCTCGTGTCGGTTGGCGGCAGATATGGCCTTAACTTATCATTGATATCGTTCAGAGTGACAACAAACGGCGTCAAGTTGAAGGGGATTCCTGTTGGTCTGGGATTTGCTTGCCAGACCAGGAAAGCCTGGTTCACGTCGACAACGCTATCTTGGTGGCGAAGCTCACCCTTGGGCTCTTCAATCGGTGCTTCGTACCCGGGCGTTAACCTGGCATAAAACTTGCTATTCCATTTGCCTCCCAAGCTGAAGCGTGGCTTGCCGCGGGCATCAAGGACACGACCACTGATGTTGTAGGCTGAGCTGGCGGTCCAGCCTCGCGGCTTGAAATCAACTGTCGAAACTTCGCCTGTAGTCCAGTTCTTCACTTCCATGATACCATAGTTGTCAACTGTTGGGGACCCAGTGATAATACCGATGACAGAAGAGGTGACCTTCTTCCAGGTGTAGAGCTCTTCTTTGTCCCCATTTGTGGGACGAAGCCTTAAGAACCATGTACCCAGGGGATTGATATCGAAGGACTTTCCGTAAAACTTCGATTTGACAGCAGACTCTCCCCAGTATGTCCACCTTGGCGATTCTGCCCACGCGGCTCCAATAGGGGGGTGATGGCTGACTTGCTCGATGAAGAAGCGGAACTCTTTGTCTGGCCGAGCATACTCGAAGGTTTCGCCGAGTAAAGGATTAAAAGGCTTTGCAACACGGCCGATAGTTGAAGCATATTCACTTGCGGCAAATGCTGCAACATACACCATTCGCTCCGTAGGATCCGCCCGCCCGGCAGCAGTATCTAGAAGATCTGTATATTCCATATCTTCAGCACATCGCTGCAGTAAGGAAGTTGGTTCGTTAAATGAGACAGGTAATGTCATCTTCGTCATGTCTTTGCCAACCATAGATCTGAGAATACTCTGAGCGAATGTTAGCAAACTGTCTTCTCCAATACTGTAGTGTGATAGCTTACCCAGAGTGAAATCTTCGGCCTGTCATCGGCATCCATCTTCAGACGTTTTCGAATACCATCTTCATAACCGAGGTAGGACGAGGTCAAGTCAACACCACCAGCTAGAGTGAGTTGCATGCTCTTCTCTTCTGTAGGTTCTTCTGCTTTTGGGCTCATTGGCATTTCGCCAACGGCAATCTCGCCAGCATCTACGGCATCGAAGAACTCTTCATCATCTTCCGAATCAGAATCGGAAAGGATTTTGATGTCTGCCAGTATCGACTTACGCCGCAACGTGCTTTTGGTCGATGATGCACGCCTCCTGAGAGTAGCGACGCCGTCAGGAGCTTCGATAGCCTCCACTGCCTCGACCAACCCAGGTTCGTGAACAGAACCCCTGCTTTCTGGTCTGCTGGTGCTCTCTATCACTTCTCGCAGAGCCCGCTTCGTGCGCTTTCGCTTCTCCTCTGATTCACCCATTCTAGCCTCCAAGACTTCTTGCTCCCGAGCAACTTGTGCCATGCTATCTTCCCACATTTGACGCAATTCTGCTTCGTGGTCAAGTCGTCGTTGCCAGTAGTCATCTCGATCTTTCGAGATCTTGGTCATATCGCTCAAGAGACCGTTAAGGCTTCGAATAGAGTTGTCATAGGTAGATAGTGCTTGTCTGATCAAAGGATCTGAGATGGTTGCACCTGGGTTCTGGCTTTGTTCCGACAATATAGCAGTGTGGACTTGGCTCATCATGTCAAGTTGTAACTTGGCGGATTGTGCGGTGATATCGAACGCATCCTTGCTGACAGGTGCACGCTCTCGGCTGCTGGCATCATCGCCGTAGTCTTCCTCGTAGTCACCATCGAACTGTTGGTTGGCGATAGTGCCTGTAATGCGAGTTGCATCGTTCACAAAGCTGGCCTCGTATGAGCCATATGCGGTGCCCTCATCTTCATCTTGCACACTACCAGCAACACTTGTTCCCTTAAATGTAACACGCTGGCTTGGCTGGCGGGACGGCTCGCTCGTAGGGGTCGCTCTAACGCTCTGCATGCTGCCTCGTCGAATATCACTACCAGAAACGCTTTCAGGCGCCAAGTTAACCGATGAATGATCCCTTGAAGTTCTCTCTGATTGCTCAGCCTTAGCCTGACGAAGGAGCTCGGAAACACGTTCCTTCTGCTTATACTCCTCCTTCGCCTGATCCTTTGTCCACTGGATGGAGTTGTTCAGGGCCCAGAACCACCGTTTGGTTTCAACCTCGTGATTGGCCTTCAGGGAGTACTTCACGGAAGATTTTCCAATGATTTCGAATTTTTGCTTCTCAGTCGGATCCATGTTCAATTTGGCAATGCGCATGTTGATAGCCCCGCGGCATGCTGAGCCGGTATCGTCCTGGTTCTTATAATAGCTCAGCACTCCATCCTCAAGCACAAACCATCGCAACTGATAGCCCTTGCGATAGTTTGTCCATTTCTTCAAGTACCCTTTCATTTCTCGTGACTCTTTCGCTGCGAGGGCATCTGCAGCACCGGTGGTCCCAGCAGCAGTTTGTGATAGGTTGCCCAGCACGGCCTTTTCTTGAATGCCCCTCTGCGCAGCAACTGCTGCTGGAGACCTCTTAAGCATAGCCCTTGTCGCCTCATCCTTGGTGACATCCTGGGGAAGCTTACCCCTCCTATCACGTCGGAACGGATCGGCGCCATGTAGCAAGAGCACCTGGATAAGCTGGGTATTCTTCCTTCGGGCCGCTTCATGTAGCAACGTGCCACCCGATTGAACCGTGCTTATCTCAGATGCGAACTCCCCGCCATTAATATCCAGCACAGTCTTTACGCGCGGCTCTTCGAGCACATCACTGAGCGCTTTATAGTTGCCGCCGGAGATGAGTAGTTGGATTTCTTTGATCTTGGTATCGACGAACAACGACCGGGAAAGTTGCAGCTGCTGGAAGATATCCGGGGTTCGCGCCAAATCCAGTGGAAGTTTACCGGCAGTGTTGGCGATGGAGTCGTTGATCCCAGTTTGCGCAAGCAACAGCCGCACAATCTGTCCCCTGCCTTGTAGTGCAGCAAGATGCAGCGGAGTATTTCCATCTTTGTCCTTCGCATTTATATCGATAGCGGATGCACCGTCTGATAGGACATACTCGACAACCGGAAGCTCCGCACATTGTATCGCCAAATGTAGAATCGTCGTATCCTCAAGCTGGCCAGCCGCATTCGCTCCTTCAGACGCCTCGCGAATGCTCTTGGATATCTGAGCCGTGTCGCCACCCCGCAAAGCTTCGAATATTCTGAACTTGCGAACCGACTGTTCAATTGATAATGTTTTGTCTGGTGTCGCGGCAGCTGGCAACTTGGCGCTCCGGCCAGAATCCGAGACGGTTTTCGTTAGTCCAGCCATCGTAGGCGATTTCGATAGTAACGAGGTGCCTGACGCGCTTGGGTGCAAGGTTGGCTGGGAGCTACTTCCAACGGACCCAGAATCAGACGCCCCTTCGTCGTCGATGATTTTTGCTGGGTTACGGCGTAGTAACGACAGTGTTGACTTCGTGCGCTTGTGGCTGTGATGAGTTTGATGTTAGCTATTTATCACATAGCTGTCTCATACCACCCCCCGTACATGGGTTGTTGATTTTAGGTTCTGTCGGGACGACAGGCCGAAGCACTTGCTTCCAGAAAGGACAGAACCTCCGTTATTGCCATAACCAAGAAACGTCGCGCTTCACTTTAAACTCCAGTGAACGAGACGCGGAAATAGCTACCAAATGGTACCTTCTAATATTCCGGGCTCTTTCGTGGTGACTGGTGCAGTGGATGAGGAGTCTTACCTTTCCTGTTCAGTCATGTTGTCGCCTCCACGTGGGGTAACGAGGTCTGGAGCTCTTTCAAGCCCAGAACCTCCAAAACAAAGAGTTTACTTCCGAAATATAAATCCGGTTTGCGTTCTTGGAAGATATCTGAAGGGCGAGCGACGACTACAGCTTCTAGCGCGTCGTTTTGGTGAAGGACGGTAGATGTAGCTGCGGAATAGAATCTTGGGGTTCCAATCTCGTTTGATAGTCGCTCTTTCGGCCAAGGAACAATCCCATGTTGTGCCTTAAATCTACAGATCGGCCCGCCAAGTATTGGATAACAAATCGTTAGCGATAGCACAGATCCAATCTTAACTCTATTAGAATAATTTAAAATTAACGGTATTATCAACAGTTACACTATTTCCCCAAGCATTACAATTCGTAATTCAAAGTACTTGGGGACGCGTCAGTACGATTTTGGACCTCCCAAAACAAGTAGGCGGTGAATGACGTTGGCGGCTCCACTTCGGTGTCACCCCGCCCCTTTCTTGATCCAAGGGACGATGGGTGGCAAATTCTATAGAGTGGACATCTGCCAACATGAAAAGCCCACGTATTGTCACATATGCTTCATAGGCGCCCGAGATAATTGGACCACAGTTACTCCACGCCTTTACTAAGTCATTTGGCATATTCATCAATATCAATAAAATGTGCAAAAATGTAGATTACTCCATAGCACCAAGGCTAAAGACGACCAATAATACCCTAGAAAACTCGTGACTGAGAATCATTTGAATGTGCAAACAACTGGAACCTAGTATCGATAGACCGGTGTTGTTTGTGGCACTGGAGCCGCATATGGATCATCGTCGCTATCATCTGCATCTCGCGGTTGGTTCCTCCCATCTTTCAAAGTGCTAGTAGTATCCAATGTTGCTCCTCCTGTGGCAGACTCCCGACGATCCTTGGAAGCCGTATTCGAACCGAAGCCAGGATGATAAGGCTCATTGTGGTCAATCACGCTGTGCGTAGCGACGTCTGATGGCTCGACCGGGTCAGTGAATGGATTTTCTGTCTCTGGCGAAACTGGTGAAGCTGTGCGCTCCGAAGGAACGGGTTGGGCAGGCTTCGGAAACGATTTCCGTGACGGAGGGGCAACAGGCTTGAACATTGAAGCAGGTTGTGCGGGAGCAACACCGGATGTCATGACAGGTCCGACGGAAGGGCTGAGTTGCGGATCTGGGGAAGCAACGCCTAGAGCCTTCCTCGTCTGCAAAACGGCCCTCTGGTGCTTAGTTGTGGCCAGCGATAGCTGCTCATTCGTTTCAATCAGAGTGAGCATAGTATCATTGTCCGGAGCTGGGTGCTCGGTAGCCATATAAGATTGAATGCTTCGACTTGCGGCTTGGCAACGGTTTGCAAACTCGCGGATAAGATCATTCTGAAGAAACTCTGATTGAGGTGTTGATTGAATGAGTTGTGTCAGGAGTGTTGCTGAGTTCCTGGCCTCCTCAACACGAGAAGCCAACTCCTCTGGGCCAGGAAGTCGACCGGGCGGCCCGTTATTAGCATGTCTCCCTGGGGCATGCGGGTGAGGATGATGCCCTATCCATGGAGCGCGGCCGGGTTGACCCTGAAACCAGTCAGCACACAATGCTTTACAGATTTGCACCCAAAAAACTGATTTTAGTTACCGCTTGAGAGAGAACCTTTTCAATCTTAACTTTTTCTTTTTTCCACATCTCCAACAAACCAGACATATTGACATCTGATTCTTTGTCTCTTAGAAAGTTGTTTAGTGTGTCCGAAAGCAGCTGCTGAACACTGGGATCACGGCTCGTCCTGCTTAACTCCTTCACGGCATCCACGAATTTCTTGTCGATATTTTTGGTGAAAGTCGATCCCGGGTTATCCGATAATATGCGTATGAGCATAACAGCATTGTATTGGACGTAGGCCCGGCTCGAATTATCCTTCGAGAGGAATTTTCGGATCTGGTATGCGCATTCTTTTGCTGCCACAGGAGAAGACTCCGCCGCCTCTACAATCGCAGGAAGGTGTAATATTTCTTCGCCTTGCTAGATATGAGATTAGCGCATGCCTTCACACAGTCTGCGCTTCTCATACCGTATGGCCGGGTCCGCCAGATTCGCAGAAGAGTTTCTATGGATGCCCGTCAGCCATTTAGACTCCATGCTGTGAATATGCGCCACGTACAACACTGCGCGACGCATTCTCTTCTGGTGTGGCCAATGTGGTCTCTGGCGAGGTATCCGTGGTGGTAGCTAATGGATTGCTCAGTAAATAGTAATTGATGGACAAATAAGGAAGGAATTCATCTCACGAGCCGTCTGACGTCTAGCCAGAACCCGGTTTACGTTGCCGAAGCTCTTTATTGACTTCATCGCTATTAAAAAAAGTTATCTTTTCTGTCCTCTGTCGCACAGTGGATTATATCGATGGGCCGCCGTGGTCTGAGTCGATCAAAAGCATGTGTCGCGACGACAATCTTGTCTCAGGGTCCGATAAGGCAACACCCGCGTTAGCGGTGGTTCCTTTTAACCACCCAGGTTTGTGTCTGTGGCAGGGGCGCTAGACCGGCCGGACTTTAGGCGTCTGCGGATATATGGGGTAACTTACGAGGACCTGAACCGAGAAACTAGACCGAGAAGCTGCACCGAAATGAGTCAAAACCACGTCGACTCACAAATATATTATATTGTTTACTCACAATGTTTATTTATGTGTGGCGCATTGCTCATTTACATACAAAAAAGCTAGTTGTAGTTTACTCTGGATAAGGTTGTGTCCCAAGTCGCATTTGAATTGCACAGCCCCCGCATCCACGTAACAACCATGATATATGTTCTTGGTGTTGCTATTACTACATACAATTTCTCCATTGGGAGTACAAGAATTCTGGCCCGGTGCCCACCCCATGGGAACCTATGTGGCATCCTGAGATGCTTGGAAGCCTCAACATAGGCAGCATAGCCACATCTTACATGCATGAATCATATTTATGATCATTCATCGTCCTCGGCGTCGTCGTCATCAACAATAGGCTCGACAATCAGATTACCACTTTTGCCAATCCTGTCCAAAACAGATCCACCTTGCTCAAGGTCGTACACTTCCCTCGGCATAGGCGAGACAAGCCTGAATTTATATTCGTGCTCGAAATCAACGGGTTCCGCGACCTTTTCCCCGCTGCCTGGCTCCTGAGTTCCATAACATTCAACAAAGGCATAGAGCTCTTCCAGAGGGGTATCTGGGCTAAATCGTCTTGTCACTCTCTCTGCTGACTCTGGCATTCTAAATGCAACCCGGACAGCATTTGTTGCATCCTTGGGAGGCTCCGATGAGATGCGCTGCACTCTCCATAGTTTCCATTGTTGAAGGCCGTTGGCGTATTTTTCTGCTGCCTCGACTGCTTCCCTAGCTCGCTGTTCCTCAGCTGCCTGGGCGGCTTCGTCCTCACGCCTTTGCCTGGCCCGTTCACGGTCCTGTGCAAGAGATCTTTCATACGCTGAGTCTTGCTCTTGCCGCAAAGTCCTTTCAAACTGCTGTGCTGACCTTGCCTGCCTGGCCTCATTCAGCTGCGTGGTGTAGGTGGTGATCGTATTCTGTAATTTGGCGCCGTACGTACTTGCCGACATGGGCCCAGTAAGTCTGGCAACAACCGACATTGATGTAGGACCGCTCTCGGCGGTATGCGTAATCAAGGCCGTGAAAGGGAACTTCGTGCAGCGCAGTGCAGTTGACACCTGGTAGGCTTCAGAATCTTGCACGTTGCCAGCCCAAAGGATGATATTGTTGGAAGGGTCGTTGACTATGGCAGTGACTTCGGGCGAAAGAAGGGTATCCCTGATAAATGAAGAGGTGTCATCGTGCTCCGGAGACATGATTATAATCATTAAAAACTTCAGGTCCTTCTTCGCCAGATCAAGTGCCTGGGCATATCCGTTTGTAAAAAATGGAAGCGAATTAGATCCGTATTCTTCATCAAATTCCCGTTTGAACCTCGCTGCTGTATCTTGTGGACTCAACATCCTTCGTCCCGTCGTATTCTTCCGTCTGTTCTGGGCTGTCCTATTTCGAGGTTGAAAGAGTCGCGGGAGAAACGGGAAGAGGTAGGCAAAAAAGCTAAAGGAGGATGACAGTATCTTATAAATGACATTGAATGGCATGAACAGAAGGCCTAGTAGTAACGGGGGACGGCGGACGATCTGGTCTTCTGGCTGGGGCACGATTCTAGGAGCTGCATCTGGGCGCGTCGAAGCTGAAGGGCCCCGTAGAAGGCTTTCTTGTAGGTTCTCATGGCGGCTAGATCGAATCGGAGGCGCATTTTGAGCTGCTGCGATGGCGTCGGCAAGAGGGTCGACTTGTCCGGAATCGCCGTCAAAGAATCTCGAAACTGCTAGCTTTGCCACAGTTAGTTACCTGGCATAAGTCGGGTTTGATCTTGGGGTCCATACCTGCACGTTCCATTGCGCCCGCTGAAGTACTGGGATTGCTGCTTGCACGTCTTGGTCCGTGACGGAAGTATATTGTTGGAGCGCTTCTTGTTGCGACTGCGACAGCTGTCCAATGTCCACCTCACCCGGAGTTGCCATCACACTGGAATCTCACGAACTTCAATCGCACAAAGAGATCGGTGATGTGGAGTCCATGAAGGAGTAACCGATGTTTCAGTTACTGTATTCGCACAAACTCAATTATCGTATGGAAGTATGATATTCCAATAACCTGATGTTAGCCTCGTGTCATACCCGCCATAAATGGCTTGAGCGGACCCCGGCTTTGGGAGCCTCACAAGGTGTGGCTAGCGCACGGATGCTGTAAGGCTGACAACTGGCGACCGCCCTCACAAACTCGAGTGATCGCGTCTCGAGATATGGGGCAATATACTTCTACGGAACGCCCAATCAACCGCAAACCGTGTTGTATCAATTGATAAATATCATCTAAGGATCTGTGCCCTTATATAACCCCAAGGGGGATAAGCTACCGCTTTCGACCACTACGACATGTCCCATAGAGCCAAGTAAGTGACGGCCGCCCCCTCCCTCAAGTGGCGCCTATGTTGTTGCACCATTCCCGTCCGAACTTCTATGAATTGCTAGATTGGAGATGGCGTGATGTTATAACCTGGTTGTATGCCTCGGTTTGTACATATAGCTAATATCTTCGTAGGATCCGCTGCGACTCAACGGGGCAAGGCCGATAGGTGCAACGCGCTTAATATACTATGGCTACAACTCGCTTTGTCCCAGGGCAGAAAGCTGTCGGGTCTCCGAGACCCAAAGGCCGTGGTAGGTCTATTTATTTGCCCATATACTCGAGACATTCGACTGGAGAGATCTGCAACCTTTCACAATAATACTTGCTGATGGCTGTATGACAGAGAATGCGAAGGATACGCTATGTCGAAACGTCTTAATATATGGACACTGTCGTTACGAAGATCAGGGATGTGCTTTCAACCATGAGCCAAATAAAGCGCATACAACCCAAACTGAAATGTAGGTTATCTCTCACCATTGTTATTGTTTGTTCGCTCCATCATGTAGCTTCCCGTGCCCAGGATTACTCCTCGAGGACCCATGTCCCTGGACGATAATGCACGACGATGCGGAATATAGCTAAGATTTTATAATAATAATAGGTCCAAGAAAAGCCTCAACGTTGATTCTCCCTCATTCACCCCCATCGGCTTAGCGAACACTTCTGCCGGGTTGTCTGCGATGAGTTCGCGGGCAGCAAGTGCCGCTCCTTTTACACCTAGATCTGCTGCAAGCGGTATGCAACATCCCAAACTCTGCTGTATGATTATCACTGACAATTACAGGAACCGCAACACCTACTCAGCAAGAGGATGCTGTGAGCTTTAACCCTGCACAAATCCGCGAGTTTACGCCACAAAATTATGATCTCAACACAGTGAGTTCACACCTCAGAACTTATCTAGAGATAATCTAACACCTCTTCAGAGTACACTGAATGGCGGAGGCCTCGACGCCCAAGTGCCCTTTGATCCCTTCACTATCCCTAACTCTACACAAGCCGTTCCTGCGGCACAATACAATCCATATTTGGAAGATACCAGCGCCGGTGCCAGTGCTGCATACTATCCAGGGCAGGCTTCTTACGCGGCAACTGCTCAGCCAGTAAGACCAGCCCCCATACTATCCGATCCATACTGACTGATCCAGTTACAATATCACCTCTACGCCCCAATGGGACCTCACCGTGAAGATTTGCTTGCATATCAAAGGCTCCCCCATGACTTCTTTATGCCAGAAAAGCTCCGTGAAGAGTTGCAGAGAAAGTCCGAAGCATCTCTTCAAACCATGCCCAGTGAGTTAGCTTTCACAGCAAGAAATGACCTTTTTAACACAATCAGACTCGCAACTTCCAACTCTTGATAACTACCATTCTCTCGTTGCGCTGGATACTAGCCATCACAAAAGCGCCACGGTCTTTGGATATCCGAGCTGGGTTTATAAGGCTACTTCAAGCAAGAATGGAAACCTCTATTGCCTAAGAAGACTTGAAGGCATGTTTGTTAATCATTATGAGGCATACTATAGCTAATATAAAACAGGCTACCGTTTAACGAATGAGAAGGCCATTAGATCAGTCAAAGAGTGGCGTCGGGTCGATTGTGGAGGCGTAGTAACCGTGTTAGACGCGTTTACCACCCGTGCTTTCGGTGACAGCTCACTAATCTTTGTCACTGACTACCACCCATTAGCAAAGACGCTGGTCGAGACGCACTTTTCCACCGCCAACCGATTTGGCAACCGCGTAGCTACAACCGTGCCGGAGCAGGTCCTTTGGGGCTACATTGTTCAGATTTCAGCTGCTCTGAAGAGTGTGCATGCTTCTAACCTTGCAGTTCGCTGTTTGGAACCTAGCAAGGTCCTCGTTACGGACAAGAACCGTGTCCGCCTCAGTGCATGTGCTGTCCTCGACGTGGTACATCACGATATCCAGCGATCCTTACAAGAGCTTCAGCAGGATGACTTGCAGCTATTTGGCAAGCTTATCCTAGCTCTTGGGACCAATAGCCTTCTCACCCAGCAGAATATGAAAGTTGCCGTCGAGCAGCTTGGGCGAATCTACTCTACAGAAGTTCGTGACACAGTTCTATGGCTTCTCACCCCGGCGGTAGCTCCAGCTACAAAGTCCATTGATGAATTCCTCTGCGGCATCTCTAGCCATGTCGTCTCGTCCCTGGACAGCGCGTTCCACCAAGCGGATAGCCTCACCTCCGAGCTCAGCAGAGAGCTTGAAAACGGCCGCCTCGCACGTCTGCTCATGAAGCTCGGTACCATCAACGAGCGCCAGGAATACGAGGGAGAGCGCAGCTGGTCTGAGCATGGAGAACGGTACATGCTCAAGCTGTTTAGGGACTACGTCTTCCACCAAGTTGATGCCCTCGGCAACCCGGTCTTGGATATCGGGCATATGATCCGCTGTCTCAACAAGCTGGATGCAGGCGTGGATGAGAAGATCCTGCTGACGAGCCGCGATGACCAGACATCCTTCGTTGTCTCGTACAAGGAATTGAAGAAGCAGGTTGCTGCAGCATTTGGTGACCTGATGAAGCCTGCTGTGGCCAAACCCAACAGGCAGTTTTAAGGGGGGTTGTGCGTGAACAAGTATTTATGGATTGAATATTATGTAGCTGCGTTTGAGGGTATGACTATACGGAGATAGTAGGATATTGGTGCGAAGTATAGTTGCTTCCGTTTGAAATCCAGCAACGGCAGAAAAATAAGGAGCACAGGCATTACTTGTGTACTTGTCGAATGTTCCAGAGCGAATTGGGGAGTATGATGGGGGGCAGTTGATACTTGGTTGTTGTGCTTGAATCTCTGTCTCCGTCTCAGTCTCCCATAGCAAAAAATGAAGTCAAAACTTACACTTACTCTAAATCGCATCTCTCCTTGGTGCCTTGTTCAGACCTAGAATATCTTCCTTGTTTCTGCTGTTCAATATGTACAAGTTATAAACGGGTTCGTAAACTCGCTTTGATGGCTATACAAATACATGGTTTGCGTATGTTTTGGTGAAGGATTCCTGTCGATACCACCAGCCCGCGGCACCGACCAAACACCCCAGGCTCGCTCTTGCCTTACGTTCCCGCTGATTAACTCTAACGTACATCCCTTTCCCCCGCACTGACTGTCGTCACCTCCTCTCCCGTCCAAACTTAGACTCCTCCCTCGTAGCGCCGTGTTTCCTAGCCTCCAACTCGGCCAGTTTCCTCTCCATAGTCATCTTCTTCCCCACAAGTTGACCCCGCCTCTCATTAAGCAGCGCCAACTGTTCTTCAGCGGTCACTTCGCGGTGCTTTTCAACTGCCTAGCAAGAATATCAGTATTCGCCATATTAAGTGCACGCGGGATGATCAGAGTCGAGTCGGCCCTACCTCAGTTGCTTGCTTCTGCGTCTTCAGCCCAGCGCCATACCAGGCCCCGGTCGCGGTGATGGCTGCAACAGACCCGGTCATCACAACTCGCCGAATCGTCTGTCGAGACATATCCAATATTGTCGATATTGCTTCCCCTCACGACAAAGTATTCGTTATATATAATCGTCGTCTTGAAAGTGCTCCCGTGATAGATAGTCACGTGGATCGGTCGTCAGAATTAGGAGTTAAACTACTTTGTGGCCTTAATAATAAGGTACCAAAGGTTGTTCCCGGGAACGTCGAGAATCTTGAAGCTTAAGCACCCGATCCAAGATCAACTGAGCTCAAAGCCGCACAGCTACTGGGTCCTCTTCACAACTCTACAATGGGAAGTTCACCATCAAAACCTGCGTCGCAGGCGCCATCTCACGTTTGGCAAAGGTATGACTGCCCAATTCCTCTGCCCCAAAGCGCAATGGCACGCCTTTTCCATCCGGATTCTGGCATGCAGTCGCTCCGAGGCTATTGAATTCTCAGCCTGCACAGTAACTAACACACCACCAGCGAAACTCCCGTCCGCTTCTCCCAAGAGCTCGTCGACTCTCTCCAGAGTAGCACCGAGGTACGCGCGCTCGCCGATCCCACCCATCTTCCCAACAGCACATCACATCACATCGCAGAAGCACCCTCAACCCCCCTTACATTGACACCCCCCTCGCTTTGCCAACATGGCGAAAACGTGGCGCGCAATAACTGGTAACTAACACGCCCCCCACAGACCGACTCCACCCGCGCCAACACCCTCGAGCTGCACGTCCAAGCCCGCGTAGCCGAAGAGCTCAAGCGCCTCCAAGCCCGCGAGTCCTCGACCCTCGCGGCCCTTCTCGAAGCCGAGAAGAACGAGACCGCGCCCGATGCAGCGACCTCGGCCGAATCGAGCGCGGGTGACACCCTTCGTGGCCTAGGGCGCGAGTCGGTGGCGAAGGATGTAGCGAAACTAAGGGAGAGGCTGGAGCAGCGCAAGAAGATGCGTGAGGTGGGGGAGCTGGATGAGGAGGTTGATAGGGCGAGGGGGGAGGTGGTGAAGTGCTTGAGGGGGAATGATACGAGGCCGCTGGATTGCTGGAGGGAGGTGAAGGCGTTTAGGGAGGGGGTAGCGAGGCTGGAGGGGGGGTGGGTGGAGAAGGTTGTTAGATAGAGGGAGGGGTTGTATTATAGAGGGTGTATGACGGGACAGACTGGCAGATAAAATCATGGTGGCATGGACACGTGGGCAAGAGCTCTAAGATGGCGAGTATAGAATTGAAAAGATCAATATCCTCTTCTTGTGCCGGCCGGATCTCGGCATCTCATGACATTGTTGGGCTCTCTTAATATCTGAGCCACGTTTTGAGATCATGTGTTTCTGTAAATACTTGTTAGAATTCAAAGATCAACATCCTCTTGCGCTGGCTTGCTTTGGGCATCTGATGAGATCGTTTGACCCTCTTATCTCTGAGCCATGAGCTCTAGGATAGCAAGTATAGAATTCAAAAGATCAATATCCTCTTATTTTGCCGGGCAGATCTCGGCACCTTATGACATTGTTGGGCTCTCTTGCCTCTGAGCCAGCCACATTTTGAGATCATGTGCTTCAGTCAATACTTGTTAATACTCTATAATCATTGCAAGGCAGAAGCGCAACTAATCAGATGCAATAGCGAAATGATAAGATGGATCTTCATTCCCTATTTCGGTGCCCAAACTCTGGGGTCTAGGGTAGGGGGGATGAACAGGCCCGTTTGGAGACGGCCGTCTGATCAATATAATCATTTCAAGGCAGAAGCGCGACTGATTAGATGCAATGGCGACATGATCAGAGGGATCTCCAATCGGCATCTCGGTGCCCTAACTCTGGGGTCCGGGGTAGGCGATCATAACAGGCCCGTTTAGATACGGCTGGCTGATGTTTAATAAATATACACCATCATGGCTTGATTTCCGCCGCACTACCCGACTGCGGGTGTGACATTTAGGCGCAATAAGCCGGCAGGATATAGGAGCCGTCCGAGGCGGCGTCGAGGCCGCATGGAAGTGCCAGGTTATTTATTTATCTGAGTCTGTGACCCGCACTGTTAATTTGTGCGGCGAGACTTGCAATATAAACTGCGTCATACGGGGCTGGGGAGATTTGGGTTTGCGCGGAGAGGGCAATATGCATGAAGCTGACTTGGTGGGGGAGAGGCGTTGATGGCGAAACATTCTTTGTTGAGTTTTTCGGAATATTCGGAGCAGTTCAGAGTATTCAGCTTTGTATGTTTTGACAGCGCTGTATGGCATATGTACTGTACGTACGTAGATTTCCAGGCTCAGCCGCGTGCGTTTCATGTCGCCCATGTCTCCCACGCCACCGTTGAACAGGCGCCAATCACCTTCCCCATCCCGCGCAAGTCCGTCGCGTCGGTAAGTCTTGCCTCGCACAAACGCAAGGAACAGAAACGAAACGCCAAGTGTTGAAACATCCAGCGACCATTGGGTCGCTGTGGCCGATCGGATAGGTGCGCCGGTTACAGCACGCCCCCAAGATCGACGAATCGCACCGTATCCGGGCCTTTCCCTTGTTGCCCGCCAGGGGCAATCCCCACGCTAAGCACCGCATAGCCTTGCTGACGGGATGAGGTGCCAGCGACTGTGAGCCAGTCGTCTTGGCGTGGCGGCGGCCACTTTCGACACCGCCTGGAGTGAATTGCTGCATGTCTGGACAACAAACAGGAACATTGAAACCTGCCTTGCCGGCGCTTCCTTGCGTTATTGCGTTATTGTGGCCGAGTCGGCAGTTTTGCTGCACATCTCATGACTGGTCTTGTCTATATCGAGTGACCTCCACTCATACGAGCCATAGCCTGCCGCGTCGTCGACGTGTTCTGAAGTTTCTCAAGGCACAGACTCCCCGCTGGCTTGCGCATACCCATGTCTGTAATCCCGTCCCAACTAGCTCTGGCGTTGCCCGCACCCATGCCTATCATATCTCCAGTCAATCTCCAATCCCTTCTCCCAAGCCTTCGTTATATTGCGGGTTTGACGTCTGCTTGCTTTTGCTCCTTACTTTCATCATTGCTGTACTTTTCATATGTGACTCGGTGATATATTACTATATCATGAACCTGCACCTCCTTTCCCTTCGGTCCTAATTTTTCTATACACATTCGTTAGCGGTTGATCGACATCAGACATCATTCACAGTACATATTTGCTGGACAGATATTCAAGCAGTTGAGTTTCGACTAGGCGACAGGCGCACCTATTCAACAGTATTCAGCAGGCGAAGAATACAAAAGATAAGAATTGAAATTCACTTGGACAATGGCTATCTATTGTTAGCGAGGTGCAGAAGGACTATTGTTCCATTGTGAATATTGTTTCGCCTACCTCTTTGTTGAGTGAGTCCTGCCAACCCCCCCGAATCTTCCTGAATCACGAAATTAATCAGGGCCTCAGACATTTAACTTCGATCTTGGTCCCCACCAACTACCTCGTTACATATTACGCTTCTCAACCTACTTCCACCATAATTGACCTCGCAGAACTTGCGACAAATACGGCACGCCCCAATATCAGCAATGGCGGCCGAGTCGTCAACCGAGTTATCCTCACTCGGATCACTATCAAGTACACCAACAACTGGAATTTCAGGACCAAACCCCACGATCGAGCCATATACCACAGCTTTAAATGGCGTTGATCAACTGGGCAATAGACGCTACCGAGATGCCTTGTTTTGGTTCCTAGGAATCCTCGGAATTTGCGTCCTTCTGATCAGGATGCTAGAAATATCCAGGGCATGGATCCGACACAAGGTCGCAATGGGCAAGCCAGAGGGTCGTCAAGTATTCTGGAGAGATAACCAGTCCGCATGGTGGCCATGGATCAAGAGGAATATAACATACGCCCCTCTTGGGAGTAAGAGACACAACAGAGAGATGCGCCTTTCCTCTGCTGTCAGCGTCGGCACCTTACCCTCTCGTTTCCACATGGTTCTCCTAACCGTCTACTTCATATCCAACTTCGCGTACTGCGCTGCACTCGACTACAGTGTTGAGAACCGATGGTCTGTCGTTGCTCAACTACGAGGAAGAAGTGGCATGCTTGCTCTATCGAACATGGTTCCCCTTGTTATCTTCGCTGGGCGCAACAATATCCTCATCCCCATGCTAAAGATCAGCTTCGACACCTACAACTTGCTCCACCGCTGGATGGGAAGGATGGTGGTCTTTGAATCCCTCATCCACACACTCGCCTGGCTAATCACCCAAATTGCCAGCGATGGCTGGTCGAGCGTCGGCAGAAAAATCTCCCACGACCCTTTCATTCTGTGGGGAACTATCGGGACTGCGTCTATGTTCATCATTCTGATCTCCTCCCCCTCCCCCCTCCGCCACGCCTTCTATGAGACCTTCCTCAACATCCACATCATCCTCGCCTTCGCCGCCATCCTCGCCGTCTGCGTGCACTGCAAGCTCGGCCAGCTCTACGAGCTCCTCCCCTACGCAATCGGCGTCCTAGCAATCTGGTTCTTCGACCGCCTCTCCCGCTTCGCCCGCATAATCTACTACAACTACTCCTCCCGCGGCAGCACCTACGCCACCGTCGAAGCTCTCCCCGGCGACGCCTGCCGCGTCACCCTCCACCTCCCCACCTTCCTCCACGTCGCCCCCGGCTCCCACGCCTACCTCCGCTTCCTGTCCATCAAGCCCTGGGAATCCCACCCCTTCTCCATCGCCTGGACGAGCCACACCTGCATCGATACCATCGGCGTCCTCCCCACCACCGAAAAGGCGCCTGACTCCCCCATCCCCAAATCCGCGCGCACTTCCGTCTCCTTCCTCATCTCCGCACACACAGGCATGACGCGCTCCCTCTACACCCGCGCTCTCGCCGCTCCCTCCCACCGTCTCCGCACCCGCGCCGCCTTCGAGGGACCCTACGCTGGCCACCACTCTCTCGCGTCTTACGGACACTGCGTCCTCGTCGCCGGGTCCTCGGGAATCACCCACCAGATCTCACACGTTCACCAGCTCCTAACAGAGTACCCGCACGGCACTATCGCAACTCGCAAGATAACACTCATCTGGATCGTCCGCGACCTCGAGCACCTGGAGTGGGTGCGTCCGTGGATGGACGAGTTGCTGCGCATGCCGCAGCGTCGGGAGCTGTTGGTTATCAAGTTGTTTGTCACGAGACCGCGCTCCGCGGCTGAGGTGACGAGTCCGAGTCAGACGGTGCAGATGTTCCCTGGGCGTCCGAATATCCGCGTGCTTCTACTTAATGAGGTTGTAAACCAGGTAGGCGCTATGTGCGTTACGGTTTGTGGACCGGGAGGCCTGGCCGATAATGTCCGCGAGGTTGTGAGGGAGGTGCAGGGATGCGGGGTTATTGATTTTGTGGAGGAGGCGTTTACGTGGTGAGCGTCTACCAGGAAGGAGGTGGGAAGGAGGACCACTCGACCGCGCTGCGGTGGGAGAGGAAGTATATATTTACGGAGATTCTGGAGTAGGATTTTGTATAAAGGCTGCATTTGGGAGGGGAAGATATGGGAATCGGATCTGGGAAGGGGGGCGTTTGGTATACCAACTGGCATAGGTGGTGGCTACCTACATACTAGCCGGGTTTTGCATTTTGGGATGGCGTTTGGCGTTTTCTGGAAGATATACACGGATGGATGGACAGAGAGACGGACTAGAGTAGATGGTCACGAAACTAATTACTCGGATCTATGAAGACGAAAGAGATTCACAGTCAAGTACATATTTTGCACATCTGGGGATAGTGACATCTTGTGATACACATAAGACATCGAAGAGTCCTCGAAGGACCCTTCGAGAACCCTTCAATTCATCTTTAGAAGTCAAGTATTTTAAGTAGAGGTTTATTGTATGGAGATTCTATCGCAACATATCTAATCTCCCTCTATGACGCCAGACATAGCAGTCAGCTGTATAATACACACCAAAGCAAATCAATCAAATATCAAAACACCCCCCGCCCCCCCTACCACCCTTCCCTCCCCTCATCTTCCTCTACGAATTAGCCCTAAGCTGTGGTCTCCACCCCCCCTCCGCAGTCTTCCCCTCCCCTCCCCTCTTCTGCTCCTCAATCAACTCATCCAAGGAATTCGGCCTCGCCTGCGGTCTCCACCCCCCCTCCACCTTCCTCTCCCCCCTCGCCCTCGCCTGCTCCTCTAGCATATCATCCAGCGAGTTCGGTCTCGCCACAACCGGGGCTACATTCTCCTTCTGCTGCGTCACCTCTACCGTCTCGACTTGCACGAATTGCTCGGTCAGCTCAGCGAGCTTGGCGCGTTTGGCGGCGCGCGTGGAGGCGCTGCCGTCGAAGGCTTCGCGTTTGGAGGGAGCTGCGTCAGTGATGGTGGCGCTTTGCTGCTGCTCCTTCTTTGCCTGCTTCGGGGATGCTGCGGCGGCATCAGTGGTAGTGCTTTGCTGCTGCTCCTTCTTTACTGCTGCCTTCGGGGATTCTCCCTCCTTGGTGGTGGATGCCTTGGACTTGGCATGCGCGCCGTTGGGGCGTGGTTGGAGAGGGAGGACGTGGCGGCCATTGCCATTGGCTTTAGGTGCCGATGGTGATGGTGGCAGGTGGTGCAGGTCTAGGACTGGCGCAGCGGGCTCGGTGGATTTCGGTGCTTCCTCGGGGGTGAGGGCAGCTGCTTTGGCGAACGACAGACGCCTCGCTTTCGTGGTCGTTGTCTTTTCCTCAGCATCCTTGGCTGACTTCTTTGGGTTAGCTGGCTTCTTTGCGGCAGCTGATTCTTTCGCAGCAGCTTCTTTCTTAGCGGCAGCTTGCTCCTTCGCAGCTTGATCCTTGGCAACCTTCTCCTTAGCAACCGCCTGTTCCTTCGCAGCCTTTTCCTCCGCAACTTGCTTGGCAGCCTGCTCCTTCGCGGCCTTTTCCTTAGCAGCCTGCTCCTGTGCAGCCTTCTTAGCAGCTTCCTCCTTGGCAGCAGCTTCTGCTTTCCGGGTAGCTTCTTCCTTTTCTGCCTGCTCCTTTGCGGCTTGCTCCTTCGCTGCAGCTTCAGCCTTTCGGGTAGCTTCCTCCTTCGCTGCTTGCTCCTTTACGGCCTGCTCTTTAGCAGCCTGCTCCTCTGCAGCCTTCTTGGCAGCTTCTGCCTTCCGGGTAGCTTCTTCCTTGGCAGCTTGCTCCTTTGCGGCTTGCTCCTTTGCCTTCCGGTCGGCTTCTTCCTTAGCAGCCTTCTCCTCAGCAGCCTTCTTGGCAGCTTGCTCCTTTGCAGCCTTTTCCTGAGCAGCCTTCTCCTTAGCAGCTTGCTCCTTTGCGGCTTGCTCCTTGGCAACCTGCTCCTTCCGGGCAGCTTCCTCCTTCTCTGCTTGCTCCTTAGCGGCCTTCTCCTTTGCAGCCTTCTCCTCGGCGGCCTTCTCTTCAGCAGCCTTCTTCTCCTCGGCGGCCTTCTTCTCCTTCTCTGCTTGCTCCTTAGCGGCCTTCTCCTTAGCGGCCTTCTCCTTTGCAGCCTTCTCCTCGGCAGCCTTCTCTTCAGCAGCCTTCTTCTCCTCGGCGGCCTTTTTCTCCTTTGCAGCCTTCTCTTCAGCAGCCTTCTTCTCCTCGGCGGCCTCCTTCTCTTCAGCAGCCTTCTTCTCATCAGCGGCCTTCTTCTCCTCAGCGGCCTTCTTCTCCTCAGCGGCCTTTTTTTCCTCGGCCGCCTTCTTCTCCTCGGCCGCCTTCTTCTCCTCGGCCGCCTTCTTTTCCTCGGCCGCCTTCTTCTCCTCGGCAGCCTTCTTTTCCTCGGCCGCCTTCTTCTCCTCGGCAGCCTTCTTTTCCTCGGCCGCCTTCTTCTCCTCGGCAGCCTTCTTCTCCTCGGCGGCCTTCTTCTCGGCAGCTTTCTTCTCCTCGGCAGCCTGCTCCATAGCTGCCTGCTCCTTTGCAGCTTGCTCCTTAGCGGCCTGTTCCTTCGCAGCAGCTTCTGCTTTCCGGGTAGCTTCCTCCTTAGCAGCCTGTTCCTTAGCTGCTTGTTCCTTTGCTGCTTGTTCCTTTCGGGCAGCTTCTTCCTTCGCAGCTTGCTCCTTGGCAGCCTGTTCCTTCCGGGCAGCTTCTTCCTTAGCAGCTTGCTCCTTCCGGGTAGCTTCTTCCTTGGCAGCTAGGTCCTTAGCAACTTGTTCCCTTGCGGCTTGCTCCTTAGCAGCTTGTTCCTTTTGGGCAGCTTCTTCCTTTGCAGCTTGCTCCTTGGCGGCTTGCTCTTTCGCGGCAGCTTCTTGCTGAGCGGCGGCTTCCTTGGCGGCGGCTTCTTCCCTTGCGGCAGCCTCTGCTTTCGCGGCAGCTGCACCAGCCCAGAATTCGGCCACGAGTGCAGCTTCTTCGGCAGCAGCAGCTTCTTCGGACGTAGAAGTAATTTCCTCGGACTTCTCCAGGAAAGAACCGTCTGGGGTCGATGAAGCGGTATTCTCAGACGTAGCAGTCTGGCTATCAGCAAGGTCGCGAAGAACAGCTTCAATGCTGGAAATGCTGCTGTTCAATGTGGCAATTGTAGCCGCCGGGGTCACAGCCTCAGTTAGTTCACTGTTCCCGGAAACTTCTTCCATTGCCTCTGCAAGTCCCTTTCCCTTTGTCCCGGTTGTGCTGGAAGTCGGCAGGTGCTGGCTCTCTGTAGCCTCGCTGCTGTTGAGGAAGTCGAAGCTCGATTGGCTTGAGTAGCTAGAGACATTTTCAGATACGGCGATAGGCGTCTCTTCTACGTCGTCGCGCTCCTTTTGTGCCGTTTTAGACGTGAGCTCTCCGAAGATCTGAACGCCACCTTTTCGCATGGGCTTTCTGTCGACTTCAGCTTCTTCGAGCGCAAATCTTGGTTGTTCGTCGCCCAGGATATACTCTCTGTGCCACGCGCCAACAAACATCCCTTCGGGGTCTGCCTCGTTTCTGACATTGAGCCACGACTTTAGGTCGTCGCCGTACATTTCCTTTAGTTGTTCGTTCGTGGTCTCGAAGTTCTTTGCCCAGTGAGGTTTGCCGTCAAGATCTCTCATTAAATATTCGAAAGCTTGATAGTATCGAGCGAGACAGGGAGGATCCATGTTGTAAGGCCGGTAGAGAGTCGCATTGAGATAGAGAGTTGGCCCGTCTTTGGCAGATGTGTCGAGGTGTGGGCGAACAGATTTCCGTGGAGAGCCGTCAGTGTTCTTCAACTGGAGAGTTGTATCACTGACGCGGACCTCGATCGGTGCGTGAACCCAGAGTCCCTCTGCGCTGTATGGGATACCATGTTCGACGTATTCGGGATCGGTAGGCGGGAGTCGGTTAAGCCAAGAGGTCAAGCGGCGAAGGGCAGCTGGTCCATTGCGAAGTGGGATAGCCCATTCGTTCACGGTTTGGCTGTATAGACAGTCCATGAGGAGAGCCTGTCGCGATGGCTGAATTGCCTCGATAGTAGTCTGCTCTCCTGCTGAAAATCCAAATTGCATTCCATTAATGAACCATTCCACCCACGGCATAATCCTGGGAACCCATTGTGCAATGTAGAGTAGGTTGTGGTAGACGTGGTAACCAAACGCGGAATCGAAGGAAGCAGCTTTATGTACGATGTCCAAAGCAGGTTGTGTAGTTTTCGAGGCATGCCAGACAGTTGCGCGGCGAGTATATGGGTACCACCATACCCTCACGAACTCGCCTTGTGTCCAGAGGTTGGCGTTCCATTTGTCATAAACATGCTTGTGGGGGTACAGAGTTTGCTTCCAATGGAGTGAGAATGCTGGAACGGCCAGGAAAGTGATTTCGGTGATGACGCCGAGGGCGCCAAGAGAACAGAGCGCGGCACGGAAAAGGTCTTCATTCTCGTCTGGCGAGCAAGTGACTGTTTGCGAATTCGAGAGAGTGATCTTCAGCCGGGTAACCGAAGAAGAGAGAATGCTGTGAAGCAGAGTCGAGCCGTGGGTTCCAGTAGAAATGGCGCCAGCAATTGACTGCTCGTTGATACTGCCGAGGTTAGGCATCGCGAGACCAAGCTTGTCCAATTCCTCTGAAAGCTGGAAGAGGCGTATCCCAGCTTGCATAGTCACGAGCCCGGTCTCTCTATCGACAGAGAGGATCTTGTTGAACTTGTCCAGGTTCACCATCCAGCTTGAGGTGCAGGTCAAGTCGGACGGCGAGTGGCCGGAGCCAACCGTTGTAATGCGTCGTCGGCATCGTCGTGCCAGCGTAGTCAATTTCTCGACTTCTTCGATTGATTCAGGCTGGATATACAATTCGGGCGCAGAGTAAAATGTGCGGGCCCAAGTATGGTGGAAATGGTCGGGAGAAGCTCGAAAGGCGACGCCATCGTCGAGCTTGCTGAGCTCATCGGTAATGGCCGGATCCATGGCGAAGAAAGAAGCTGTGCTCTGGTCTCCAGGGCCAGGCGTAGCTTCGGCAACACTCTGTTTGTCTCGCAAGACGCTCTAGGTGCTGTGTCGGTCACTTATGTCTTTTCGCCCAACCCGATCAAGGGATGAAACGTGGTTGTTATTATGCACGAGTGCCTCAAAAAGTGCACTGGCATATGTGACAAAGCAAATGGCGATAATTAATTTGTGCCTGTTCATGCATACCCCACGTTCCTCACCGCCTTGCTAAGTAAGCGACAATCCCCTGCTTTTTTGCCGGGACACCCGGGTGTCGGTAGAACAGTATTGGTGGAACAGTGTCGGTGGAACAGTGTCGGTGGAACAGTCTGGAGAGTGTAGATAGGCAAACGAATGTATAAATGAAAGTTGGAATATATATATCCAGGTGATGCCTCCCAGCTACTTATTCCTATTCTCAAATTCATAAAAGGGCAGCGCTAGAATCTATAAACCTGCCGTTCGAAAAATAGTTCGTCAGGGTGATGTATCTGTATCTACCGTGTTGTATGTCTCAGGGTCACGTCATCCACCCACTCGCTCTCTCAACACGGTCCACTTATGCAGATGAGCAATAGAAAAATATGGGCTAAGTAAGGTAAATAGGCAAATATCTCAACGCTTCGACAATATATACTTCACAAACGCCATTTACAGTAATTACATATCAATCGAGCTAGCAACGATAATTGCGACTCCGAATCCCCAATCAGCATCTCTTGTATAGACAGTCACTTCGTGGTCGTTGTCGCAATCGTTACCCCGCACCCTGAATTTATATTGATTTTACCCCACCAAAGCCATCCTCAAACATGTCTTCAGCTACCTTCAAGCCCGTCGCAAAGTCGCCAACAGATGTAAGCCCCCAAATCCATTACTAACCTCCTATCCACACGCGCCTAACCATCCCACCAGCTTGATGAGATCCTCCGCATCGAAGAATCCCTCGTCGTCCCCCACTTCACCACCAGCGATGCCTTCGACCTCGGCCTCCTTCTCCAAACACGCCTCGCCGACGCCTCCAAACCAGCTTTAATCAGCATCGTCGCGCCCAGCGGACTCGCTGCCCCCTTATCCCCAACAAGAACTCTCTTCCAATGCTCGGCTAGGGCAGGCGTGTCGCCCGACAACGAGGTCTGGGTCGCGCGCAAGGCACAGACCGTCTTCCGCTTCGGCGTGTCCAGCTGGTATATGGGCCAGAAGTTGAAGGGCGATGAGAAGCTTTTCGCTGCCAAGTTTGGCTTGAGCCCAACCGATGCGTCTAAGTACGCTATTCACGGTGGTGCTGTCCCTGTGAGAGTGAAGGGCGTGGAGGCCCCGGTGGCTGTGGTTATTGTGAGCGGCCTGTCTCAGGACGAGGATAACGGTGTGGTCGTGGAAGTTCTACAGGAGTGGATTAAGACCGCATAAGATAGGGTGTTACATGTAAATAGCGAACGAGATAGCATTTTATCCCTAGAGTAAGCCTGAAGATGCACTGCTCAATTAAAACGGCACACATATGCAACGGAGTTATATTATTTCATGAGAATCTGTGTGTTCATTGATTGGGGGGTTCTCTACACTGTTCATCATTCGTCCAATTCACGCCTCCTCCGACTCCATGGGGCATGGAAGCAGGCATCCCACTTCCAGCCAGCTTGTACACAAGAACTTTCTTGCGAAGCATTTTCCTTCTTCTACCTTTTCCTCCGCCCGTCTTCTCTATCGCTCCTTGCCAGCCACCAGCCATCCAAATAAAGTCTTGGAATGACTATTACATAAAGTTGGGGAATACATGAATATCTTCGGTGACATGGCCTCATAATCTTCTAACGAATGAAATGTGTTGTGAAAGGGGTATAGGGGTTCTTTTGTACATGGTGCTAGAAATGTGCTGGTGAGGGTACTGGGGACCGATCACTTGACCGATTAATCAAAAACGCCGGTCGAGGACAAGACCCCTCTGAATGGCCAGGCTGCTTTGTAAGATATTATTGAAATATTGGGGGTGTATTGGTGGGAAATAACGGACGCTGATAACGAGTTCTATGTGAATGACGATACGCCAACCCTAGAACCAGAAACAGAAGTGTATTCGGACTGGTGTTGACCGGCTCAAGTCTGGTGCACGGTTTGGGAGCCGCCAATCTGGCGCTTGACTTGCTCGCGGGCCCATCTGGCAGTGTCGATCGTTCGTGACTGGAACTCTCTGTTGGAGCGAGTCTCGCGGATCATCGAAGTCAACCAATCGGCGCGGTAGAACTGAGAGAACTCTCCGTTGGGGAAGCTTTCGGCCAGATCACTAAAATGCTGTTAGTAAAAATGAAACCACTTTAGTAGCTGTTAAAACTTACCCAATAACACCCATGGCGGATCTCATCAAGCCCTCGCTGCGGTTCTGATCAATATGGACAGCGTTGAGAAGCTGGAAAATGGACTCGACGTATGGCGAAAGGAGAGCTGCTGCTGATAGTTAGCATATGAATTGGGTTGCGCAGTTCGATAGTACTTACATTGATCGCTGGACTTCATGGCACCAATGATACCACCCCAAGCATCCATAATTCCCTCACGAAGAGACATGACGTAGTCGTACATCTCGTAAGAACCTTCTGGGCTGGCCTGGACGGTGGCAGCTTGTTGAAGCACTTGTGCGACAACCGAGAGGTACTTCTCGAATGCTCCGCCGATAGCTCCAGCGATGTCGCCGAAGCATTGAAGGATCGCAGGCTTAAACTGGTTTGCCAGGGCAGTGCTCTGTGAATGTCAGTATTAATATATATGAGGCCAAATGGGTCTAAACGCACCCTCAAGTTGTTAAGTAGGTAGTTCATGAAGGTGTCGCAGTAAGGCTCGCACTGGGCGCCCATGGAACGGGTAACGTCGCTGACGAGGCCGATAGCCATTGAGCAAAGGGCTGGCTCCTCCTGGTTGGTCAATGCGTTGTAAAGGAATGGAGCGAAAGCCTCCATGTATGGTGCGAAAGACTCCTCAAGAGCATTGGCCAAGCTTCCAACAGTGGCGAATACTGCATCAGGAACAGACGACTTGGGGCCAACGGTGTTGAGAATCTGGAGGAGAACATGCATAATGCGATCGGATTGCGGGGCAATCTCTTTCTCCAGGCGCTGGACAATCGCAAGGAGGACACTGCAAAGGCTGGTCTGCATCTCCTCGAGGGTGATGCGGTCTTCAACACTGACGACCTGGGCCTGGAGAGGGATAGTGCCTTCCAAGCGCTTGAGGATGACATCGGAAAGCGATGCCACAGTTGGCAGGCTGTCCTGGGCCGCGTTCATGACAAAGGTGTTCAGAACCTCATAGGCCGCAGTGCGCAGCTGGTTATCCGCATCAGGGCGCTCAGTAACCTGCAGGAGACGCGAAACACTCTCGTTGAAGTGGGGAGACAATGGGTTCTCCTGGCAGCCAATATCGCCAGAGAAGCGCTCGGCAAGGTTCATCAGTGCCCAACAGCAAGACGCGGCCATCTTGGGGTTGTTCGCCAATCCGGTGAAGAGAGACGAGATCAACGCAGGAAGGTGAAGAGCTGGGTCGATCGACTCTGAGCAGGCCTCGCAGATGCGGCCCAGTGCGTAGGCAGCTGAGTCTTGCACTTGGAGGACCTTGTCGGCCATCATATCAATGAGCACAGGGAGGGCTTGCTTCACGATTGGGTCAAGGACCTTCTCGTCTGGGCCTTCCATGATCGCGCCGAAAGCGGAAACGGCTGCGTCACGGTGGTGCCAATCTTCCTGGCGTAAGTTGGCCTCAACGAATGAAAGCACAGGTGGGATAACCAAGCCTCCAACAGACTGGGCATAAAGTTGAAGACATTGGTAGGCAGCGCGAGAGATGTTGTACTCCTCGTCAGCAGCATCCTCATCTTGCTTCGTGAGAAGAGTGAGGAGTACGGGGACAACTTCGTTTGTGGCCACTCGGCTGAAGTTGTAATACGGCCTCATTTGATCCGCGGAGTCAACCTGTGCATTGTCATCTTCAATGGCAATCTCCTCCTCGCAGACCGTGCTCCAGAACTCGACAGCCAGCTTTGCGACATCCTCGTCCTCGCTCTTCATTCCCATAATAGTCAGGCCAAACAGAGCCTTCTCCATATAGAAACGCATGGTCTCGTAGTATAATGACATAATTCTGTTGAGGCATCCGAAGGCGCCCTCTTGGATGCGAGAATCTGATGCTTGAGTGGCTTCGCAGACCACCTGCATAATATAGTTGCGCTCTCCTTCATTCTTGAAGTTTTCCTTAACAAATTCCAAAGAGTCGCCAAGGGCCGAAATGGCTGCGAGGCGGACCTCGTCATTGGTCTCCTCCTTGCGGGCACCCTGAACAACAGCAGTCAAAATAGCATTCGAGTGCTGGACCAGGCTTTCTCGTAGATCTTGGTCCTCGCTCTCGCAGATGAAACCAATTGTGGTAAGGGACGATTGCTTAAGATGATCGGCACCCTCTCCAACATTGCGAACCAAGGTTGGCATAAGCTCGGACCACTGCTCCCTGGGAAGCTCGATGGCAGCTATAGATGCAATAACTTGCGCCGCAGCCTGGCCAGCTTGTGCGTTTTCCGAAGAAAGTGTTCGGAGTGTAATATCTTTCACACCCTTCTTGGTGTCTGCGTCGACTTGTTGAAGCCATTTCTCTTGGACCTCACGTAAACGGGCGTACTCTCGGGCAGAGAAGGCGTTCTTAAGAGCTAAACCAGCTGCTACACGTATAGGCTTTGCTGCGTCTTCGCTCGCAAGCTGTGTGACGAGGGTCGTGACGTATGCAGACTAAATTCTGAAGTTAGCAAAGGGGTGAATTCGAAGAAAGCTCGGAAGAGGGGTGAGCCAAGGGGGGGGGGTCTCATACGAAATTGGCGTCGGCAGCTTGTGTCAACTGTTGCTCAGCATTGCCACGGATATTGGCATCTAAAACTTGTCAGCAGGGTTCAAACCTAGAAGTTGAAAGAAAAGGAGTTGTTGTGCGGGGGAACTAACCAGCTGACAACGTCCCCTCGAGGACGGCATTAACATCCATATTTGCAGCTTGAGAGTCGGTGTGGAGGGAGATCTGTGGTGGTGGCCCGCTTGAATAAATACACCGATCAACGCACAAAGCGTTTGTAAAATGTCTGTTGTATTTTGAGGCTTTGGCGTTGCTAGATGACAACGACTTGAAATTACAATCTCAGGCTACGAGATGATGTTGACGGGGCTTTCTTGAAGCGAGACTTTATTGGTGGATACCTGCGGTAATGGGGTTAACGATTGCCCGAAGTAGACGCCGCTTGTGAAGTGGTTCGGCTTTAAGAAACTCACTATTTCTTGCTGCTGCAAAATACGTAAAAGAAAGAATTTGTAGGTTTAGGTCGGCAGATTTTATGATCTGTAGCACTTGGACAAAGAAGTGCTTCGATGACCAGCTTCACAGGCAAAGATTGTTTGGTTGCCGGCCGCGTTTGGCGTAAACCCCTCGTCTAACAGGCAAATCACAGATCGACTGTTTATTCTGTCACAATTACTGACACGTGATTTAGTGGTCTTTCTCCTATCTCCTTTCCGTTTCTCTTCGGTGTCACAAATATTTGCTGATTTGTAGGTTACGAATGTTACACTGCCTAGGCTCAGCAGGGAATATGAAGTAGAAGTTATGGTTCTGTCGTGCCTGAAACAAAGGCCTTGTTTTTTTTATTTGTTTGCTTTTCCGATATGCTTATCAAACTTTGTTTGCCTTCTGTCCTACCATTTTGAGCTCGGAGCTATATCAAAGAGCTAGTAATCAAAACCGCACTAAAAGGACTACTTTTGTTTCCATTTGTTTCTATTATTTTTTGGAGCATATGATGCTAAGGCAGACTGGCCATTGTTGCCACAAAGTGTAATAACAGACTACAAATAATTGGTATCAACGTCCACTGCTCGTGGGGCGGAATGGGATAGGGGTGTTTGGCCTGCTTGTAATAAACTTCAAAAAATTAGTACTTAGATTCAAGGTTTCGTAATTATAGAGAGAAGAAGAGTAACTCACGCTTGATGCGGCCGACAAGAGAGCAATCAAAGAAGACTGAACAACATCCTCGTCGATTCCAACACCCCACACCTTATGCGAAGATCCAGCAGCTGTACATTCGATATACGAGACAGCCTTGACTCCCTTTCCTTTTCCAATGGCATGCTCCTTATAATCTTGCACGTCAAGATCAATACCGATTGATGAAAGGGCGTTTGCGAGAGAAGAGATAGGACCATTGCCCATTCCCTTCAATTTATGCTCTTCTCCGTCAATGGAAACGACACCTTCGAATCTTCTACGCATATTCTTGGTGTCTTGCGTCTTCCCAGCAGCGGGTGGCGCCGGTGAGCTAGACCTATCAGCCGAGATAGTGTAGTCCACCAAGTTAAACCTGGGGTTCTCTTTCAAGTAGTATGACTTCTCGAAGAGTTCAGAGATTTCGCCCGATAGGAGCTCACGGCCAACGGTGTCAGCCTTGCTCTGGACTATTTTGCTGAATTCAACCTGTAAGCCACGAGGAAGGTCCAATTCAAGATTGCGAAGAATGATCCACGCCGCGCCTCCCTTGCCACTCTGAGAGTTCACGCGAATGATAGCCTCGTAGGTTCTGCCAATATCCGCAGGATCAAGTGGCAAGTATGGTACTTGCCACAAGTCATCATCAGTAGCAGTTTTGCGAAGGTTGAAACCCTTCTTGATAGCGTCCTGGTGAGAGCCACTGAAGGCACAGACAACAAGCTGCCCGCCATATGGAGCTCGAGGGTGAACAGGGATCTTGTTGCTAACCTCAACCACGTCGATGACCTTGTTAAGATCAGAGAAATCAATCCCTGGGTGGATACCTTGCGTATAGAGGTTGAGTGCCAAAGTGACAAGATCAACATTTCCCGTACGCTCGCCATTTCCAAACAAACATCCCTCAACTCTGTCGGCACCAGCCATTTGAGCTAACTCGGCAGCTGCCACGGCACATCCTCTATCGTTGTGGGGATGTAAAGAAACGCAAATCTTCTCTCTCTCGGTAATATTTGTGCAGAAATACTCGATTTGGTCTGCGTAGACGTTTGGTGTAGACATCTCAACTGTGGCGGGAAGGTTGAAGATGATTGGGTTCTCCTTTGTCGGTCCCCATGCCTCCTTGACAGCCTCACAGATTCTTATGACATACTCTGGGCTGGAGTCTGAGAAAGTTTCGGGGCTGAACTCGTATGCCCATTCTGTGCCGGCTTGTGACGGATCGTCTTTTGTGATCGAGCGAGCAAACTTTGTGCACTTCACTGCCAAAGCGATGCCTTCCTCCTGTGTAAATCCAAACACAATGCGTTGGAAGCATTCGCTGGTGGCGAGGTATAAATGGAGAAGGGCCTTCTTGGCCCCCTTGAGAGAATCGACAGTTCGTTGAATCAAGTCTTCCCTGCAGGGGGAGAGGACCTGGAGCCAGACATCATCCGGTGTTGCGCCTGGGGTTTCGACAAGTCGGCGTGTGAAATCGAAGTCGGTTTGGGACGCAGATGGGAACGAAACCTCGATCTCCTTGTAGCCGAGCTCCACAAGCATCTGGAAGTACTTCCATTTTTGTTCGCCATCCTATAGACAATTAGCAGGCAGCTACATGGGCAGGCTGTATATTTCCTAACCATTGGGTCAACCAAGCTCTGGTTACCATCACGCAAGTCTGTTGCGAGCCATCGCGGCGGCTTTTCAATTATTTTGTTCGGCCATGTGCGGTTTTCAAGCTTCAAAGGTGGGAACCTCTTGTACTTCTTCGACGGGTCTGCAAGCCTACACGTTTGATAATTAGCAGTGGTTTAGGTTGTTTGTCTGGGGTAACCTCCGTACATCGGCATTGTGAAAATGGCGGGGTAACACTTGGTAGTGTTGCCTTTTGAAATATACTTCGTGGTTTACAATGGGGGTATATAACCCAAGGTTCTGTATATTCGATTGGTATGGGTGAGTGTACAAATAGCTGTTTCCAATGCTGTGTAAGTAAATATTTTAGTTGGGTTGCGGTTCCCTTGGTGGTTGAGTCATTGGTTATTTTTTTGTTTGGCGTTCTAAGAGTCACCACGGGTAGGCGCGGGGTAGCAAATCTATGGCCCGAAAGGTGGAATATATCACATGATCTGCCGCAAAGTATATACAGAATTGCAATGGTAATTCACATTGTACTATTATTATATAGATGACATTAGACAACATAAGTTTGTGTTAGCTGTCTAGCGGTTTCCCTCGGTAGCTGCGGCGGATGCCATCTGTGTCAAGATAGAGTGCTCATCTGTTAAAACATCCCCTCTTTTGCCTTCCCCAGGGCCAATAAGACCCTCACTACCATGACCGCCCAGATGCATCCCTCCGCCATTCATAAGACGTAAGTCTGGATCCAGGTTAGCATTCATGTCTGCTACTTCAAGAGCTCCATCTTCGTTTTCAATAGAGGACTCTGGGATCTGGATCAGGAACGCAATTTCTTCTTCTGTGATATCTCGCCAGGAACATTTCGCATGTTTCTTTGTACAGCCGCCACAGGCTGTAAGGTATTTGGTGCATTCCATACGTAAGCGCCTGCATCGATCACATGGAGGCCATATTGGGTCGTTCCGGTTCATTTTTTCTATCCTGGCGGCGATCAAAGGTCGATACTGTCCCCCGGTTCCATCATCGGCTCCAGAAGGCATTGGCGCAGTGACGCGCCTGCCAAAGCTGGTTGGCGTCGGAGATCCTCCCGATATTGGCGAGCCTGTAGCATCTGTTTGAGAATGGCTACCCTTAATGCGTGATGGCATCCCCTTTCGATCATCATGTTGGAATTGCCGAAGCAAATCAAGGTGGATTGAGCGGCCCTCACCATTGTTTGTGGAAGCCTGCGTCTGGTTTGTCATGAACTGGGCCGATGAGCTTGCACCAGTTTGTTCGGGTGATTGTGCTACTGTGCGGCGGCTTGCTATAGCAGATTTTCTCCCTTTGAGGTGGTAATTCAACTGCCTCGCTCGAGCCGCGACAAGGTCAGCCCGCTTTATGAGCATTGAAAGGCGCTGCTCTAGGATATCCATTGTGCCAACTTCTGCAACTTCATCATCAACAATCGGCTGAGTTGGAAGCATTCTCTCTGGTGCGCCTGATATAATCAATCTGTAGTCATCTTCTGATATCTCAACGCTACATTGATTGATCCAAAACTGGCATACTCTGCCACCGCTCCTTGACTCGCTTAGAACAAAATTTTGGGGCGTTGATCTTGCAAAATCAAGGACATCGAGCCAGGTTATAGGTACAGCTTCACCGGGATAAGTCGTCGTGACTTTAATTGGGCCCTCAAAGAGTTTCTCGACAGATTTCAAGAGGAGTGGGCCAACAAGCTTCGCCCCCAAATTTGCGGCGAGACTCTCATGGCGTTGGAGCACCCCTATCTTCGTTAACTTATGCATGAGTAAGTTATACAAGTAATTACTAACCTTCGTAATCGTCAATGAGGCCGAGAATGTTACCGAAATCATCTGCGTCGCCTTCTATCAACCTCATCTTGCCGCTTCTCGCCTTCGCCAGGTAGTTTATTTGAGGAGCATTGCCTAGATTAATCAGCTACAGTTCATAACCAGCAAACAGCGGGCATCAACACAGCTCGAGAAGGCATAAAACCAACACGTGATATGTACACGTGATTTCTTTTGAGCTTGTGATGTGTTACAATAGTATGACAGTGTTCAGTCAAGGTCCCGGCTTATAAAAGTCGAGTTCCATGTGTGATGAAAACCGCAGAGAATGAGAGATGCTTGAAGATCTGATGACGTACCTGGCGTTTGGGGCTGCAATGGCTGTCTTGTTTGTTGAGGCATGGCCGTGGATATACTACGCTTTCGCTTTCCGCCAGGGGCTTCGGGGTTATCCATTTCGGATGCAACGTTGGGATTTGGAATATGATAGATCCTTGAGCGGTTGAGCCTCCTCCCTCCTTTCTTATATGAAGAAGGCCTTTGATATGCAGCGGCGCGGAGCGGGGAGGGAACGGCGGCGGAATCGCAATTTGCTGGCCACGTAGGCGGGATGTCGGGGGCGGACTTGTGTGAAATGAAATGTTCACTGGATTCTCTCGATCTCTAGGTATATTTTCAACTGCGTAGGGTCGGTCTCGAACATTCGGAGAGGCATCGCATTCAGCAGCGCACACAAGAAAGACGAGTTCCGCTGGAAGTCCCGCTCCTCCCAAAACTTCCCGCTTAGGGTTAGCGGCGGCCCAAGCTCCGCCGGACGACCAGGTGGAACAACCTGTATCAAAGTTAATCCCAGATAACCTACTCGCCGAAGCCCAAACCCCGCGATTCGAAAGCACAAAGTGCAATTACAACATTGCACAAATCAGTCAATGTCCGAACATCAGGGCTCCCAGTCTCGCGGTGGACGCGGTGGTGGACGTGGAGGCGGGCGTGGAGGTGAACACAGAGGTGGGCGCGGCGGAGGTGGAGGGCGCGGCGGGCACAATTCACAACAGCAGGAACGGCCAAAGAAGGAGAACATTCTCGATTTAAGCAAATATATGGATAAGAGGATTACGGTGAAGTTCAATGGTGGTAGAGAAGGTAGGCGATTCTCCCAGCGTCAGCCTCGAACTGGTTCGATAAGCGTATGAACCAGTCGCATGATGCGACTGGCTCTGAGAAGCACCTGAACCAGCATACACTTCGAAGCATAGTTCTGTATCCATTGGATTTATGTTAACTTCTGGGTTTTTTAGTTACTGGCGCATTAAAGGGTTACGACGCGTTGATGAACTTGGTCCTGGACGATGTGCAGGAAGTCTTACGAGGTCCGTACCTTGCACCCTCATTATTTATAACCGCTGACCCAGTTTTTAGATGATGACGGAAACGAGACTACGCGATCATTGGGATTGGTGGTGGCAAGAGGAACACTTCTGGTGCTAGTCAGCCCAGTAGATGGGAGCGAGTCGATCGCCAACCCATTCGTACAGCAGGAGGAATAAGAATCTCGCGCCTGACTGGATAGAACTGTGGCGTCCCGAACTACAAAAATCGGATAGGGATGTGGCCAAGCTACCTGAAGAGGCTTTAGGTTATTTTGCAAAGGCCACAGTCTTGAAGCACTGTCGTGTGCTAGGCAAGAGTTCTCAGCACCTGCCATTCGGCCCTCGATCTGCCACCACGAAGGCTCATCAACAGTGTGTAGACAGCATGTAGACAAAATATGAGCTATATGGACCGATGTGGCTTCACCAAATTCCGAAGTGTCTTGCTGCTACTTGTTGTAAGCCTCGAGTTTGGCTAGTAGTCCTTTTATTGTAAAGTATTAAATTACACTATGATGGCTCGGTGTTGGTGGATTCCTTCTTTGCCTTGCTTCTCTCCAGTCCCTCTCGTCTTAACCTCTCCCTCCTTACCTCCTTATCCTCCCAATCCCCGCCATCTTCACCTCGCTTCTTTTTCAGCCCATCTCCTGAGCTTCCCGCCTGAACACCTTCTTGCAAAGCCTTCCAGAACCTCTCTTTCCGCCTGGAATTCTCTTCGAATCTCTCGTTAGATATCGTCAATAACCCTCCCAGCGATTTCTCCGACACAAAACACATCGCCTCGTCATTACTATCGAGCAGCCCCACCATAGATTCTAGACCGAGTCCCATGCTCCGAATTGCAACCATGGGAGTTGCTGAAGAAGGGTTTGTTAGGTTTATTGCACCAGATTCTCTAAATCCTGCTGCAAGCCCTGCCCTTAAAACCATTTGTGCATGTTCCAATGACGCCGTGAGGATGTGAAGAATCTATAAAATATTAATATAAAAAAATGACGACGGCCACCAAACGACTCTATTTTATGTAGAATGGATTTCAGATATAACAAAATAAGGTGAAACACGCAAAACTCATGGAAATAGAAATAACTTACCATCGGTTCAAATTTAAATCTCACAAGCCTATGTCCTTCCCAAGCGCTCTCTCTATCTCCCGTCCTCGTCATGCCTAAAGCCGCCGCCAAATCCTGCCCAGCTTGGAAGGTAAATGGATCATGAGAGACATAAAGCCATTTTCCACCGCCGCCTTTCCCACCAGTACCAGCTACAGTCTCTTTGTCTTGACTACTCTGCCCTCTGCCCTCTACGTCATTGGCGGGGTCTTCATCAACTTGGTGGTCCTCGGTCTTTTTCTTTCCTTCAACAAAGACACTGATCCTCCCGGCGCAGCTACTTGTTGTAACAAACCCATCTAATTTATTGATTTCGTCAATCAGTTCCACGATAGCGATATCAACAGATCCTTTTGGCGATGCATCCTCATAAGACGATGCTGGGGTTGACAGATCATGTAAAATTGCTGATTTTTTGGCGACAAAGCTTGGAGCTAGCGCAGGCAATGCTGACGACGCCATCTGATGCTTTGGCGTACCCAAGCAATAGATAAGTTTATTATATACGACTTGACTCATGGAGGGGTGAAAGGAGTGAGTGTTGGGTATTGAGGGGTTGACGGTCTTTGTGGTATAATACGGCCGTCGAAAATCACGGGACATGCAATATAAAAATTCAAGATCATTATCGAACACACAAAGGAGCTATCGCACAAAGAAGCATGAAACTTTTCTTATTCAGATAACTACACGCAGTTCCTATAATAACCAATGAAGGCAATCAGGACTGAAGTGCCACCTTATAAGAATCCGATACGCTGTGGTAATATCGCCCGAGACACCATATACCCACCATCATGAACCTCAACTCTCATATATAGGCCGAAGAGCGGATGCAAAGAACGATAATCTATAGTACACGAGTTAAGGCGTGGTAATATCAGCAGAAACCCAACGGCCCCACCACCTTTGACCTTAACTCTCAAGTATAGGCTGCAGAGAAAAAGAAAACGACCTCGATCTATAGTACATGAGTAACCCTGAAAACGAGCCACAAAATATAGGTGCAAACTTGTGCAGCCGCGGCGGCGATTCCAACTCTTCTTCTTGGATCTAGCGCTGTCAGAGCTTCTTAAAGATTTGCACGTGGTGAATACTGAATGTTGCAGCTAACTGAAACAGTCTTCATTCCAAGACCTTTCGAAGCAGGGCCTCAATGGCGTGCCACTCAATTTCTCCCACAGCAGAAAGAGACATGTTGGAGACATCCTTTGGATACTCAATCTCAATGTTGCCGAATACGGACAAGGCACCAGTCTGGAGGCCCTTGGCAGACCTCTCAGCCAGACTGACAAGAGCAGATGAAGTAGTGGCCTCTCGAAGCAATGCAATGTAGTACTATCTTCGAGTTAGAACATGCGTCAATAACTAAGCAGCAGCAAAACTTACAAGAATAACATCTTGATTCCAGTTACGCTTCGCTCCAATCGTCTTGAACACGCTCCAGTGATCTGCATGAGGTGGCAGTCCAGCCTCAAGAGATGTCATTCTAAAAAGGAATGCAAAGTCATCTTTCTGTGACTCGCTGAAGCCACAGCAGCTGAGCACGGCACGTTGAACGCGCTTGAGGAGTCTATCATTGAGTGCCAGATCTTGGCCACCACTGTCGATGCGCTCAATGAGGTTCTTGCAAAGGGCAATTGCAGTTTGGAAAAGAGCATCACGATCACCAATAGTGATATCATGGACCTTGTGCCATGGGTACTGGATATACATTAGGCCAATAACAAATATAGAACATACAGTAATATCTTACCTTGATGACACTGCTGATCAAGCATTCGAATGGTCTCTGGGGGCATTCACTTGAGAATGGAGACTATAAAGCCGTTAGTTCTGCAAGTCTGTTTCATATCATCAATCACATAATAACTTACACGCTGTGGCGCCTCAACATGCTTTACAAGCATAACAAGCTCCTCGCGAGATATGAATCCTTTGAAGCCAGAATTGTAAAGGTCACGTTCGGTCGAGATCTGGGGATCAGAGCCTTTCCAGACAACATTGACAGCTTTTGGAAACAGGGCCTGCATGAAAAGTTCATGCCCACAGACTTCAAGGGCAACATGGCGTTCGCCGAGACGGCCTCCACGACCTCCGGCACGGTTGGATTCATAGCGAGTCACACCGTTGACGGCTTCATTGATATCAACAAATTCCACGAATGCATCCATGGTCTTGCTAGTAACACGCTCCATGACAATATGGATAGGCTCTTCAGGCTCGGGAATCAGTTTGGCATTACGTCCGAGGAAGGCCGAAATTTCCTGCAGAGTGCAAGAAAATGGAATCTGGTAATTATCATCAGCATCACAAATCATAAATAAAGGGTATTAATAACTTACGTTGGAGATGCGGACCACTCCCGTTGTTCTATGGCCAGGATGAGTGCGGGCAGGCTCCACAAATGGCATGTTGGCGGAATCAAATGCGACCTCCACATCAGGCTTCGCTCCATTGGGGCACAAAGCAGCCAAGTGAGTGCTGGGGCCAGGGGCAGGCTGGTAGAGAGAGACATGAAGTGGCATAACCGCCGCACGTGCCGGAGTTCCAAAATCAAAGCGAGCTTTCTTACCATAAATGGCAATATCAGTGGACTCAGCATAGAATGGATCAACGGTATCTGAATCACGGTGGACTGTTTTCTCAGGGACAGTGCGGGGCGACACCTGGCTTGAATCAGTAGTTGTGGATTGACGTCTGCTATTGATGGAGAAAGATGGTGGAGGGTCATTCATGGATTCTGTCTTGAAAGATCTGGTGACATTGGTGACAGACTCATTGCGACGAGAGCGGAGGAGTGGCGTGGGCGTCTCCTGGCCCAGCTCTCTGGCAGTCTTGGGTGTGGGTTGACTCTCGATGATCTTCCCATTTGGAGTCTGGTACTCCTTTGAACTCCAGGGGAATGGCTCCGCAGTCTCATGAATAGACTCATGGCCGCCGCCGTGGTTGTCTCTCGATGTTTCAGCGCCACTGGAGACATATCTCCTTTGTCCCAAGCCGCCATTTTTCTGCTTGAAGTCATCATTGTACTGGCTTGGCAGATTGATTGCTGCAACAGACGAGCGAGGCCTGTGCCCATTACGCCTGGCAGGGGGCTTTCCGTGGTTGTGATTGTGGTTGTGGTTCTGGTTTCCGTTGTTAGGTCCGTAAGCGACGGGATACTGCCCAGGGTGTTGAGATCCGTGGGGATGAAAACCAAGAGGAGACATCATCCGATCTGGGCCAAAGGTTTGCTGGTATCCTGAGACTGGCTGAGGAACGGAGAAGCCCTGCCAAACATTGTGGCCATAAGGTTGCATATCATGAGAATAGCCGCCTGGTGGATGCTGATATCCAGAGTTACCAAAATCATGAGGATATCCAGAGTTGTAACCTGGTGCATATGCAGGATCAAATCTTCCACGGCCATTGTATGAAGGTGGCTGTACTGCTGGAGCACCTTGGTTTTGTGGAGTCCCATACTGGTTGCCGTAGAACTGATCAGATTGGTGGCCATGAACATCCTTGGATGCCCCGGAAGGCTGCTTTGGGTCTTGGTATGTCCAAGGCTGACCTGTCAGTGGTGTCGATGGATACCCATGCTCAGGATAGTCCGCTGGGAGATGGTAGGGCAGTGGGACCTGTGAGGCAAATGACTCCTGGGAGTCGACTGATGCCACTGTAGGCAATCTCATTTGGTTGGACAAAAGCCATAGCTGGCCATGGCCCTCAGCAGGGTTCCTAAAGGAATCCTGGTTCATCTCAATCAGGACGAAGTCAGTTGCAACTGAGTAGTTAAAGACAGGTATGATTTGGTTTTCGATCAACTCCGTTGGCGACCAATAGCCAAAGGATTGCAGAACAAAGAGACTAGTCAGGATAGTTAGCTCAGTCGTGCTCAAAATCAACGAGGTAAAAAAGAGAAAGCTGGTCTGCCAACGACTGCATGACAGGTTGTTGTTGGTGGATGGTGTGTTCGGAGTTCAACATACCTATATAGCTTCTGAGCAAGGTGTCGATGGGAGTATACGAAAGGAAGGAAGCAAGGTGGAAGGAGTAATGAAAGGAAGCAGGATGGAAGGAGTAAAGAAAGGAAGCAGGATGGGCGGTATAAGAAGAGGAAGCAGGATGGGTGGAGTAAGAAAGATTGTGTGCTCAGGCGAGACCAGCCAAACTTTAGTGGAGGTGAGATATAGAATTCACCTTAACAGTGCCTTGAATTTGGTAGCCTTCTGATCGGAGTTGATGCTTTTCCGGCCGATATTCACCTTGGGGGCTAGAGTAGACCCCGAGGCTGGAGTAGACCTCAAGGTTGGAGAGGGGTGGAGGAAAGCTAAGAGGGAATGTGGGAACTGGCTCCTAGCAATGGGCCCCTCCCCAGTCAAACTGCCCCAGGAAATATATGTCGCAGGCAACCAGTGTCAGAAAAAAAGCTACTAGCACATTCAATCACAAGAAATGTATCCTATTGGAGGGTATCTCATGGGCTCTTTCCAATGTGATCAACCAGAAGCTCCATAGTCACAATGATTTCAGATAGAAAGGGGGCAGTGAAAGAGAGGCAACACAATGGAATTGTATCAAGAGCACATATTAAATGCCAACCCAACCTTGGAAGTCACGTAGCAAGACAAAATAAGGAATTTACTTCCAGAGATCTCTTTCAATGTTGGGTCAGTTTCCCAAGTCCATACTGACGAGGAAACAGTTCAGGTTCATTTGATCATCTGCCATAGTGCTATCTTCATCCACTTGGGAAGACAACCAAAGCACATAGAGCAGTCATGGGATATGTAATTCAGAGTATTGGAAGCAATAGTGTCATGAAAAGCTATATCAATGTCTTAGTAGGATTTATTTTGATCCGTCAACGCCGCGCAATATGCATTTTGATATATACATCAAAACGCTACAAGGTCATAAAACAGAAGTATCTCTTTAGTCGAACTAGGATTGTGTCAGTATTTGCCTTCGTGAACCGTCATAAAGGGTGCTTACAGGTGTCAAGAACGACTCGGCAACGAATCTCGCCCTTGCGTTCAACTGTAGGTAGATATCAGTAATGATCCAGCCGCCTGAGAGAATGGTACATACAAAGAGCTTCATCTCGGATATCTCCTTGTCTACCTCCTCCATGAATTGGATGATGAAGTCAACCAGCTTGTGCTTCAACATCTCCTCGGTGTGGAAGTTCGTAATCAAGAATGAGATATCATATCCCTGGCCAAAGTTAGTATAAAGCTATATTTCCCCGCTATCACATTCTAGACCCACCTTCACTGGCTTTCTGCGCAGAATGAAGAACGCCTCAGCTCTTTGAGTCAAAAACCTCGTAAACTTGTGCACCAAGATGTGCTCGATCTCGTCTGCCTGCTTGATCTTAATGCTGACGCGGATGCTGTTGATACTCGGCTCGATGAGCACACGCTCGTTCTCGTTGCGGGAAATTGTGAGGGGGTTCAGCAGCACCTCTGGGGATGTCTGTGCTTCGATTTCGGGAACATTGTGCCTCTCAGACGTCTGGGATGCGAAGTTCGATAAGCAGAGTGCGGAGGTGAGGGAGGAGCGGACGCATTGCAGGTAAGGGCGCAATGATTGAGACTGTAACTATTTAGCAGCTGCTGTACTAGTAGTACTCAGGAACATTACCATGATCAGCTATGGCTGGAGCTACGAGTCAACGCAGCTGTGTGATGTCAACGTATTCAATGCTCGTGAAGTGGAGTCCGGGTCGAGTTGGGATGGTGGGGTTGCGGCGGCCACGCATCGCGACAGGAACGTTGACGTCTCTCATTGTGACTAAGCGCCCCAACCAATCACTGAGCTTCTTCCCCGCGACTCCATCGTTTACCTTGTAGTTGCGTATGTTGTGTGCCACCTAAATCAGAAATTGATCAGTGATTCAGAACACAACCACTCAGTCCATTTCTGTTTGCCATTTTCCTCAACTCTGTAATATCTGGCAGGGAACTACAAAACCGAAAAGTTCAATCGTTTTCATATCCTGTTCACAGGAGAACAAGCATCATGGCGACCATACCAGGCAAGTCACGGCGCCCCAAACAGCCGTATTATAAATACATGCTAACCTTCAGTCAGTCATCGTGAAGCACCAGGGGAAGAAATACGAGGTAGAACTCGACCCGACATCACTGGGAGAGGTCTTCAAATTCCAATTATATTCCCTTACCGGCGTCGAACCAGAGCGACAGAAGATCCTCGTCAAGGGCGGCCAGCTCAAGGATGATACCGACCTATCGAAGCTCGGCGCAAAGCCGGGGCAGACATTCATGATGATGGGCACACCAGCTACGGATGGAAACGCCATCTCGCGGCCGAAGGAGAAAACAAAGTTCGTTGAGGATATGACGGAAGCCGAGCAGGCAAGACAGGATGGCGCCACACCAGCTGGATTGCAGAACCTGGGCAACACATGTTATCTCAACTCCACCCTCCAGACACTGCGCGCCGTTCCCGAGCTACAAAAGGAACTCGCAAAATACAAGGGCACAACGGATTCCAACAGCGCACTTGGTGGTCTGAGCCAGTTTGGACTCGGGGGACCTTCTGCTGGATTGGACCTGACCGCATCCTTACGCGACCTCTACTCCCAGATGGCCGATACCCAGGAGGGCTTCCCACCACTAGTCTTCCTCAGCGCCTTACGGAACCTCTATCCCCAATTCGCCCAAAAAGCCAAGTCCGGAAACGGCTACGCCCAACAAGACGCCGAAGAAGCCTGGTCCCAAATCGTCTCCCAACTCCGCCAAAAACTCAAGATGAAGGACACAGACGACTCCGAAACCTCCTTCATCGACAAATACATGGCCGGCCGCTTCTCCTCCTCCCTCGAGTGCGACGACCCCGCCGCCAAGGAACTCGGCGAGGAACCCATAGTAACATCCGAACCCTTCCTCAAACTCGACTGCCACATCAGCGCCACGACCAACCACCTCCGCGACGGCCTCGCCGCCGGCCTCGACGAGCAGATTGAGAAGAAATCCGCCCTCCTAGATCGCGACACAATGTACACCAAGAAATCCAAGCTCGCCCGCCTCCCCACCTACCTCACCGTCCACTTCGTCCGCTTCTACTGGAAGCGCGAGGCCCAGAAGAAGGCGAAGATCATGCGCAAGGTCACGTTCCCGCACGAGCTCGATGTCGTGGAGTTCTGCACCGATCATTTGAAGTCCATGCTCATCCCTGTGCGCGACAAGGTCCGCGATGTCCGGAAGGAGGTCGAGGATGTCGAGCGCGCGCGTAAGCGCCAGAAGCGCCAGCATGATAAGGAGGAGGCGGATAAGGCGGCGGGGATTGTGGATTCCGTTACTGAGTCTAAGAAATCCGACCCCGCCCCCGCGAAGGCCGCAGAGGGCAGTGCTGCGGCTGCGGGGGGGGACACCGAGATGACTGATGAGACCTACAGAACCGATGCCGAGATCGAAGCCGAGCGCGCAGCCTCCATTCTTAACGCCAAGAAGGAGCTTCACGCTCTGATCAACCCCGAGCTCGCCAAGGACGAAGGCGCGAATAAGTCAGGCCTCTACGAGCTCCGGGGTGTGGTCACACATCAGGGCGCTAGTGCGGATAGTGGGCATTACACGTCGTATGTCAAGAAGGAGGGGCGGATGAATGAGAAGACGGGGAAGAGGGAGGAGGAGGATGGGAAGTGGTGGTGGTTTAATGATGACAAGGTTACCGAGGTGGAGGCGGAGAAGATTGACACCCTATGTGGTGGCGGAGAGTCGCACTCGGCGCTGATTCTGCTGTATCGATCGATTCCGCTGCCGTCGGTGGAGGGGGTTGATGCGTAGGTTTGGTGGGATACATTTGGTTTTCTAGATACGGAGATCATCATGGTTTGGGGTAATGGGATAGATGGTGGTAGTTTACGTAGATAGAACCAATGCCATACCTTGGCATATTATTTGTGTGTACTACCGCCGTTGTGATCTTACTCCTTATGAATGGGCAGAGTATTTATCTACAGTATTCTCACTCATCTTCGCTTCACCGCACACCACCATACATTCACACACCCTCACCGCATATCAACCCCCCTCCCTAATCATTCACATCACTCATCACATCACTCACACCCTCATACCCCCATCTTCACAAACACAACCACACATAAGAGCTCATTCTTCATATTCTCTCAACATGCATTAGCGTTAAAAGCATCAACATCAACATCAACCAACTACAAAAAAACAGCAGTAGCAAAAAAAAAAACTAGAACCCGCGCGCATAAAAACAATAAAGCAAAAAGCCGCCCACCCCCCGACCCCGTCCGTGTCCCCCCAAAAAAGTGTGCCTCCATTCCCATTCTGCCCTACTCCCATCCCCCCCCCCAAGAGCCGCAACGGCCCCGCTCCCCAGTATCACCTCGCCGCCTTCCTCCTCCCGCCTCTCGCGCGCGACAAAAACCCAGTCAGTCCGCCCAGCCGCCCGATGCAAAAAAGCAGATAGCCGCCCAACCAACCCCCCACCAAAAAAGAGGACAAAAAGCCTAGCAATAAGATTTCCGCCCCTTTTTTAAAATTCCGCCCCACACCCCTGTCCGTTTCCTGATGAACACCGATATGAATTTCTGATTGTTTTGCCGTGAGGCAGTTGTTCCCATCTAACATTTCTCTTTTGACTCCGGTGTTGACTTGATAAAAAAAAAAAAAAAAAACTATGAAATAAGAAGAAAAGGGTTGTCCACCCCTCCCTCTAGCCCCTCTCCCAATTTCTCGTTGCCTCAAAAAAGGTAAGAAGGGGAAGGAGCGGAGAAATATTTGTGTTCTAGAACCGTGTGTTGACGAAAGCTAGTGGTTGTTATAAGAGTAAAAAAAAAACTGTAAAAACGGCACAGAATAAAAGTGAAGTAAACGGGCCAAATATTCGGGTCCTGAGCTCCGCGGCGTCCACAGGAGATGTTGGGAGTGCAGCCAGCTGTTCCCGTCTCCCCTCAAAGTTCGGCGGAAGACACAATACCCTACTCCGTAAAAAACAACCCTCGGGGCCGTCTCTTTGGCATGCGAGAAAAGGAGGTCGTCGACAAACCCCGAGGGCTGGTTTATTACGAGAAGATGAGGTTTTTATAAATGAATTTGCAAGAATGGATTCTTCGTCGCTAGCGCATAGCAGTTCGCTCCACAGAAGCGTTCATCTGCTCTGCTTGCTTGCTTTACTTCCGACCAAGACGACCGAGCATATTCCTATCGATCTCCGTTTCAGGACGCCGCTCCATGATATTCCCCAGAGCCATAGGATCACTGCGATCGCCAGGAGACGAACGCAGAGGCGGTGTGCGGGACATAGACGGCAGTCCTTCATTTCCTGGACGCTTGCCTGAGGTGGAGGAAGTAGAGGAGCCAGGGGAGTAATTCGAGTTCGCCTGTCCAACCACCGGTGTCACTGGCGCGAGGCGCAAATCGTCATCGACAGGAGGCCGCCTTCCCGGCTCTTGGCGCGGATAAGGAGGTTGTCCCGGATTAGGTGGCGGTAGGATAGACGCCTGCGGCTCGCCGTGCGGTCGTTTCCTACCAGTATCCCCTCCTCGGTCTTCTGTGAAGCTGTTATACGACCCCGTCGGCGACGGAACGGCGTATTCGCCATACTGCGACCCCTGGGCTCCCTGCTGCGGAATAGGGCCTAGGGGTTGTCCATGCGCGCCGTAGAGCTGCTGGTTCTGGTACATGTGTCGCGGGCGCCCGTCGGGGCCCATGACGTTGCGCATGTGTGGGTACGCGGCGTGCGCTGGGACGAAAGCCTGAGCCTGCGACGAGACGGGGGTGAAGATGCACTCCTGCTGGAATCTCTGGCAGTTCTGGCACTTGCCCGTCGGGTTATCCTCGAAACCTGAGCAGCGAATCTGAAGGTGATGTCAGCCTCTAATACTCGAAACATACAAGACTTTCGCCAAAACTTGCGATTCGCAAGTCGGCATGGGGAATAAGGCTTACCTTGCGTCTTCTGCAATACCTGCATGCGATTGCGGTCCGTTGCCTCGGCGCGGTCTGGCTGAATGCCATATGTGGAGGTCCGCCCCTATTGTACTCTCCCTGATAAGCACGCTGGTCGTAGGCGCCCTGTGGCGGCCCCTGATGATACGGATCCTGTCTGTACCTCGGATCCTGCGGGTAGCCGTTTGTCGCAGCATACTGTGGATCGTACGGAGATATTGAGGGCAGCGTGACGTTGGTCGGCATTGGCGCGCGCTGGTGGTACGCCCTCGCGCGGTCGTCTTCTTCCCCGGGTGGCGGGGGGTACTCTCCTGGAGGTGGAGGGTACTGCGATTCTCCAAGATCGCGCGGGTCTCTAGGGGGAGGATAGGGACCTCCTTGCTGTTCCGAATACGACATATTGTGATAGATCGCCACGGTGACGGATTGATTGGGGAGGTTTTGGCTTCAAAAGTCCGCGAGATGAAGTCGCTGGATGGTGTTTACACGTCCGGGAGATTGGTCGTGTAGGGAGAAGTGAGAGATGGTCGTTTGCGGTTTATTGTGGTTTATTTCGTATCGCTAGGTGTGTTTATGGAGGCGAAATTCGAAGTTGGTGGTCGTATGTCGGTGTGGAAGGTGAGAAGGCGATAAGTCGCAGTTCTAGCCGGTTGATTATTCTTGGAAAAACGTCAAGAATTGGTCTGGCGGCAAGGACTGTGAGAGAGTCCGATACAGAAGCAAGACAGTGGCGATATGCACAAACTGCTTGCGATGTGATCGTTGTACCCGATAAGTTGAAGTCGGATGGAGAGGAAGAGGAGGTGGCAGAGGGCAGAAGATGGATTATGTGATAATGGAGAGATGAGGTGGGGGAGGTTTAGGGGGGGAGAGGGGTTCCAAATGTACCCGCGGATTGGGCTGTTCAGCTCTCAGACCGGGCTGTCCTTCAGCGGGGTTGCAAAGGCTCGGGGGGGGCCTTTTAGTGTATGTGATAGCGGACGGGCCCTGCGGATAGCGAGCGAGGTCGACCCAGAACGACCAAAGATCGATGATTCAGGTCCGCGATTCAGCTGATCCGGCTCAACTGTATATTTCCTTTCTCTCTTTGTATTTCCCTTGTATTCCCAGTGGTGTGATGTTTGAAGTTGGACGAGTCCACAAAACCCGGCAACTGCTGCACGACTTTACTTTCTTTACCGTACTGCCGTAGATAGTTTAAGTGTGTGTGTGTGCGCGCGCGTTTCTGCTTTGTGCTCCTTGGTGCTTGTGCGTGTTTTGTGTGTGGCTGTGGGTTTTTTTCACCGTCCCACTGCGTTTCGCGCCTTCCCTCCCGTAAGTAACTCTTCTAAAATTTTCCAAGCGCCAATTTCGTCTGCCTCCGGCGGTGACAAGTGTACCAAACTTTGCGGAACAGTAGATCGCCCCAAGTGGACCTTCGGTGCCCTCTCAACCAGGAAATCGGAATTCTGGGGCCGCGAGATTGCAGGATTTGGGGGGAGAGGTATTTCTGCGATTCAGGATGTTTTTCTGATGTTCCTTTGGTTCTTGAGAAATTCCTTGGAATGGGGGTTGTAATGGGCTCAACCAGGTAGCAAGATTCGCGCTTCCCGTGGGTATGAGGTGTGAGGTTTATTGTGAGAGTATTCTGGCGTCTGTTTCGCGCCAATTCAACTTTCTGTCTTTCCTTCTTTCTCTCAGTTCGTACAGTACAAACTGTAGAAAATACTAACCTGAGCCGTACAACCAAGTGGCAATACCCTCTTCAATTCAAGTCCGTCGTCCGTCTTTAGTCCCCGTCTGCCCAGATCTGGGAAATGGTAACTTATTCGGGTCTCCGAGATTTTTGTGGTGCGCCCAAGGACTCGTTACCAGCCTTTGTTTGCGACTATCGCCCGCGCTGTTGATCCTGACGGGTGTCGACCTCTAAGGAAGGACCGCGAACCGGACCGAAGGGAAGACTAGCTACCCTGATCTGCCGGCGATGGGGAATGGATGCTGCGAGCCGGAGCGCTGCGGTTGCGCTGGGGGGGGTAGTAGTAGTCGCGGGGAGGTGCTTGGTTTGCTTGCTGTGTGTGCGACTGTAATATGAGGGGTCGCGAGACACTTGGGAAGCTGAGATTCAGATTTCCTCGTGGTGGGTTGGTGGGGGTGAATTTGAGTGAGTGAGAGTGGGCGCGGATTCCTTTCGTGGGTAGGATATTTTTTTGTTTGTCTGTTGGTGGGTTGTGTGATGTGAAGTGAAGTGTGTGGTTTGTTGCTGACGTGGAGTGCGGTGCGGCACGGCTCAGCTCAGCTCAGCTCTCAGGGCAAGATTTCTCTGCGGGGAATTTTGTGCGGTCCGGCGAGGGCAAAATCGAAGTAATAAAGAGAAGGAGGAATTTCGTTTCGTTTCTTTTCTTTTTTTCCTTTGCGGGGCCTACGTGTGGGTTGAAGGTTGTGTATAGAGGGGCGCAAGGGAGGGGAGTGAGTCGAGGAGGAGGTGAGTGAGTGGGTGAGAGAGAGAGAGTTTACGGAGGATAGAAAGATAGAAAAGAGAGAAAGTAGATAGGATGAAGAAGACGAGGATTAGAATAGAACAAGAACGGTGACGGAGTTGGTCAGGTCAGGCCAGTACAAGTTCAGATGCAAGTCATTCAGTCCGTGAGTAGTATGGTGTAGTATTATGGATTATGGGTGTAAGGTGTAAGGTGTAAGGTATAACTGGTAGTTTGCAGTAGCATCCGCCATGATCCCCGTCGACTATCGTGTGTATGTATGCCTGTGTGTATGTGCACGATCAGTCGGTCAATTAACAGTAGAGTACATATAACTACACAGTCATCTAGAGTAGATACAGTAGATAGTGTATGGGGAGGGATGGAGCAAAATAGATAGTTTCTGGTAAAGTCAGCCAGTCTCACCTCGTACACCCAGTATCCACGCACAAACGCAGACAGGCATATTAGGGATAGTATAGTATGTAGTAGACATAAAACAACATCACGTATGGATACACACATCGTTTTTTTCTCTTTGCCTGTCCAGCGTTGAAAGTAGTGTAGTATGTGTGCAGGTTGCAGTATAGTGTAGTATAGTGCAGTATACAGTAGAGTACTTACCTCACCTACCATCACCATCACCCCTCCCCCCCTCCCATTTCGCCCCTCCCCTCCCTTCCTTCCTTCCCTTCTTCCCTCCCATGAATCTCTTCCTACTCTCCACATACATACATCTCTCCTTCTCCCCCCTCCGCCCCGCCTTACTACTGTAACTCCGTACAATACTTTGGTAGCCAGTAGAACTCCTCATCGGCCTCCTCCTCACCATGTCTCATCCAACTCCCATGTCCACATCTCCATCTTCCCAACAGCTAACAGCTAACAGCCAACAGGGGTTATCCACTCACTGGAACAACCCGCCCCAGCACCCACCAAACCCACCAAACCCACCGCCTCCAGCGTACCACCGTACCGTCTCTGGTACCAGCTAGTGAGTGAAAAAACACACACACACACACACACAAACTACAAGTCAAGTACACCAGGGTACCACCCACCTACAAAGTACACCCAAACCCACACACCCACTTCCCACCCACCCCCCTACCCCGGTCCGCCGTGCACAAGCGCGACCCAGCTCGGCTGACTTGGGTCTGGCTGGCGACAGCCTGGAATTCCTGGCGCGTGGGTTGGGGAGCGGGTGCAGCCAATGGCCGCGCGCAGGGGGGGGGAGATGGGGGTTCGGGTGTGCAGGGATGGGGGCGAGGGGGGAGGGGTGGGAATGGGAAGGGAGGGAAGGGGCGGGGCGATGCTGGATGGATGCGGTCAGACGGATGGGATGGGATGGGAGTGGAGGCGTGTTTGGTGTATGGTGTATGGTATGATGGTGAGGATGGACTCTCCGGATGGGGAGATGGAGGAGGAAGAGGCGATGGGTTAGGAGTGGTACTGGAGTGTACATACGAGACTACTAATACCGATTCAGTTGAGAGGGAACTTGGTAAGGGAGTCTGTGTGTGTGTGTCGTGTGTTTGGTGCCACAATCGGGGAAGACGATGGGTGTGGTGGGAAGATGGCACAGATGGGCAATGGACAAGATGTCTTGGAAGGGAGTGAAAGTGGTGGCTGTGCTGCGTCGATGATGCCGATGGGGATTTTGATGGGACGGGATCGTGGAGAGAAAGAACGACGCAGGACACAGGGCCACAAAGATGCAGGACGAAGCAGTACCGTACTCTACATCACATACCCTTCCCTTCCTGCTCTCCTGCACCTGCACCTTCTCGTACATTACATACACACACAGAGAACATGCGGTACCTGTAACCCAGCCCAGCCCATCCCACACTGGCCCTCCCCATCCCCATCCCACCCACTGCCACGCCGTCGGTCTATCCGCCACCAACTTCCTCCCCTTCCCGGCAGATCTATGGGTACAGTACAGTAAGTAGCATCTGCTAGAGAGAGACAAGTATCCTCTACCGCATGCACCGTACCGCCGTACCCGTACCCTACCACAAACCAAACCAAACCTACTACTCTACCGCTCCGCTCCCTTCCCTTCCCTTCCTTCCCCTCGGTCTCGTCTCGTCCCTTTCCCTTCGAATGCTTGGCGATGTCCGCGTGCAGGCTTGCTGGGAGTAGTTTTGGAGAGGGATGACGACGATGTATGGGGTTTGCGTGGGTGCCGAGACGAGGGGAGGACACTTAAGGAGTACTAACGCTGATAATACGACTAATACGACTAAACACGACTAAACACGACTTAACACTACTAACGCCTTACCACATCCACCACGCAATACGCAAGCATCCTCAACCATACGACATGATACCAAGAGACTCACCCACCACCGAAGGGGGAAAAAAAACCCAAGTTTACAATTTACCCGTCGCCACCACCCGTCCCATGCATTCGGTGTGAGAGGTGACAGTACAGACAGACAGAGACACACTGGCTAGCTAGCGACGGCTATGTAATGCAACCCCGTCCGTCCGTCCATCCAGTCCCTTCCTCCACTCACTCACTCACTGGGCACTACTTTCCCACTTTCTCCGCCCCAAGCTGAGAATTTTCGACGGAGGCGGCGGCGCATTTTTGGTCACCTACCTCATGGTATAACGGCGGCGGCAAGGGACCCCCGAACCCAGCCCCCAACCCGCAACCCAACGAGCCTATTCTGGTAACTGTACGCGCTCGGTCAGAGGCCACGAGGCACAAGGCAGGGCAGGGCAGGCTTGCAGCTTCCCGTAAAATTAACATGTCTGTTGGACTTGGACTTCTACCCTGCTTCCTCGTTGGAACACGCGATTACGGCGGCTATGCCCGTATCCCCATTTGCGCTCTCCACATACATACAACACAGACAACCCAAAGAGACGTCAGACCTCCGTCTGCGTCGTGTCACTCCCCCCCCCTTCCCTCCCTCCCGACCTTCC